AATGTAACGTCACATTCTTCCACCATGTTGGAACCGATCGCGTCAGCCAGTTTCCTATCCCGTCTTTCTATTATCCTTGGAATTACACAGTCCCATAATACCGTTTACGCTTTGTTATGTATCCTTGTGGGAAAATTTTAGTTCTTTAATGTTATCGATAGCATTAAAAAGCGTTTACGGTTTGACGTCAGCGGTTCGCACAAACGACCCGTGACCTTTTTCTAAATGGTGACAAACATCGAAACAAAGTAGCTCAGAGGAATAACTTCTCACTTCTTTACCTCGAATTAAACAAAATTCGGTGAACTAAAAAACTTCCCCAGAGTTGATTTTATCATTTAGCGGACACATTTCTACTCTCCTAACAGCCGCACGAATGCCAAAATTCGACACCGCTTACACAGAAAAATTGGAAATTTTTTACCTTCCCACATTGATTTTTTGTTCATTTTTTCACAATCTATCGAAAAGTGGAAGAGAAAGTGGTCTACCGAAAAAAAATGGGGTGTCACTGACCATCTAAGAAAGTAAATTGCAAGCGAAGTTAACGCAACGGCTACCAGCCCTATATGTGCTTAGACAGTTTTCTCAGCGCGCGCGCTCGATGCATGACGTGGCGTGATATTGCGCTATGAATTACGTGCGCAGTAGGGGTGCGCAGAAACAATTAGCGCGAACGACCTTAATTTAAGGAGCAACTTTTTAGAGCAGTAACTTCGGGCAACTTTTAAGAAATTTTGAAGCAAATTGGGGCTGCGGCTATTAGTGGCGCACAGGGGTAAATGGTTTAGGAGGAAGGCAAGGGAAGGAGAGTCTTCTTCTTTTCTCCCTGCCCAACAGCCCCTGCTACCGCTGTCATCCATGGCCACGAACGTTGCGAAGGTGACTTGGAATGAGTAAGTATCGGGCTCCCAAATTGAACCTGGACGCCGGTTACGAGCTCTCCGCGAACTACCAGGACGTTTTTCACGTGATTCACAGTATAAATAAAAAAAAAAGAAGAGGAAGAAGACAAGGACAAAGAAAAGAAAACAACAACAACAACGTCCAACTCCATCTCTTGATAAAGATTCGAAGGTGGAATCGAAAGCTTGAGAGTCCTAAAAAATGTTTCATCCTGGATTTTAAGATCACGTTTGTGCTCAAATTGGGATGTGACTGGATCAAGTAACACTTTCCTAGCTAACTACATTCTCTATTATTTATCATTTTTATTTTACGGTACCTCCTTTTCAGCTGTTTAATTTCATCATCCTTAACAGATAAAATACCCAATTCTTCTTCCATTTGGTGAATTCTGAAAAGTAATAATAATAAAAAAGAAGATGAAAGAAAAAAAAAAGACACTGCAAAAACCCAAACCTGGTAGGAAGTGACATCTTATAATGATGTTATATAATGTCGAAAAGTGATGGTGATGGAAAGGAAACACTCCCACGAGAAAGAACAGAAAATTAAAAATCTCGAGCTCAAACTGAAATTTAGTCATTTAAGCACAAGAGACAGTTCAGCCTAACAAATGAAGCCGGTTCTTAAACCTAAAATTACTCCAGATCTGACAATACTGGATCACTTGTAATACATAAGAGCAGCGATTACACGGAACACTTTTGCTGTAGTTAGTGACACTCTTACCATAGCGAAATTTGAGGGTGTGTTGCGTGTGACCAGAATTTCCCGAGATAAATGTTCCTTTGAAACTTTTGATTCACGTTAATACATGTACATAAAGTCTACGACCTTTTACTGAAGATTGCATAGCTTTATACCTGGTTGCTGCATCTTGATTGCGGTTCTGTAGCTCAATCAGCCTCACTTCTTTTTCACTTAGGCTATAAGAAAAATACAATATCGAAACACCCAGTGGAAACCGTAAGGACGACGTTCTCGTGACAATTCAAGGCATTGTATTTTCTTAGGATTGCACAAAGCTTTGCCCAAACTGAAAAAATGCATATAATTATACAATTTCCGACGACTTGTATTGAATTTAATTGTAAATTTTGGAATGATTCGTTATCCGGGTAGATTTAAGCTAATGCTACCCGCGAATTTGCCTCTTGGTGTTGTCATCTTGCTCACTACAAAATTATTTTATTAAAAATAAAGTTGACTTGACTTTTAATTTACTCCACTTCCCAGCTACCACAGGTGCTACTTGAGTGATTTCACTTGAAGGAATGCTTTAATTTACATTGGCCCTGGCAGTGGAGAGCTAATAAGCGGGGCTTTTAGCCTCTCGTGTGTCCTAAGAATAAGGATATGCCGCGCTGAGCCCAAACAAGGACAAAACATGTGTCCATGACTACCACAGTGGTTAACCCGTGGAGTCTTTTTTACATAAAAATACTGACGCATGCTTAAATCAAAATATTTCGTCTTTATTTTTTTTTTGACTTTGCAAGGGTATTGACTTAGTGGATATAGCTGGCAAAAGATGAAACCCTCTACATGTAAAGTCGCTGAAAAATTAAAAGGCGGGCAACGTTTACTCTCACCTTTCAGTCTGTTCTTTAATTTGTGAATCCTTAGCTTCAATATCATGAATCAAATTGTCATTTCTATTAAAATACATCAAATGTGACAATACATTTTACAAACTGTGGTATCACTAACTACCTAAATAATCTCTTTTTTCACTCTAATTGATCTCCTTCATACTAAAAGCCTGTTTTTTGCAATCGGTCCGACAGTACTGTTTGGTCTTTACTGGTATGCCTTGCAAGAGAACTTCACAGTAACAAAAAGAACAAGTTTAAAACAGGCGAGGGTAAGCCGTAGGTAATGGTTACTTCCTAGCCTCGGATCGCGGTTAACTCTTTATGTAGACATTAATTTTTAGTTATTTTCTGTACAATACCGAACTAAGCTGCAAAACAAGAAAAAAATGTAGCACATTATAGAACTCAATTATGGAAAAAAGCTCAAGGTCATAGACTGTTTAGATAAATCTGAAACTTTTGCAATGTATATTTTTTTCTAAAACATGTAATATTCTGATGTTAGATGAATGGTATTTACTGAAAATGCCAAATTCAGAACGTTTACAGTCATTTAAAATCTGTTACTTTTCTGCACATCGTACAGTTTCTTACCTGCAAAGTAATTCATTTATCTTCATACGTGGCAACTTGACATTTACAACCCAACAGGCTAAGGGTGTTAGAAAGTCCGACCCAGAAAAAATGCGTGGTTTCACCGGCGTCGAGTTTAGCCCCGGAGAGAGGCACACGCAAACGGTTAGAAAATAACCGCGGAACCAAGAAACGGCCGTTCCCCCACACACTTTCCACGGTCGGTGGTTCGGAAAAAGTAACCCTCGGACAGTTGAACCCCCAACGTCCGGCACGCACGGACTTAGTGATCTAGCCAAAACACGGGGCAAACGTCCAAGTCACGAAAAGGGACGAGGATGAATTCGCGGGGCACGCCTTTACGAACGGTTGTTGTGAGAGACAACCTAATCAAAAACCAGTTGCGATCCTCAAGCCTGAAAACCTGGTTACAAGAGATCCGCCCGAAATCCGAAACTCTGTCTCAAGTAAAATTTTAGGGTGGCTTCTCTAACAAGGATGCACTTATTGACAACGGAGAACGACGCGCTGGCTGCATATTTCCAACTAAAGTGGGATACTAGTCTCTTAAACTTCGGGAACAACAGACGATCGGAACCGCCTGCTTTGGGTCTGGTCTTGACAGTCGCAAACGAATAAGCATTAGGTTAGGTTCGTAGTAATTAATTTTCTCTTGAAGATGTTTTGGCATTTCGTTTTTTAACTCTGTTTAGAAAGGAATTGGAACAGTAAAAAACAAAGCGGCAAGGCTGAAACTACATAGAAAATTAGTTTTCGAACCGACATCAACATAACACCCGTAGTTATCCAGCAGAGCATATCGAAACCGGAAGACAATTTCAACAACAAACAAAACAAACCCGAACCAACGTTTAAAAGGTTCATATAATGTGAACTGCGTGTTAGGCGAATACTGTAGGTGAACAGTTTGCAATGGCAAGCGCGCACTGCACCGGCTAAACGGTAAGTGGATTGGATTCTTTTGAGTCTTGGAGGCCCCCTCTATAACCTCAAAAGTGTTTATGTTCGCCAACAAAAATTACAAAGAACAATGTACTCATCATTTACAACTTCTGGGCTTAACTTGATTAACAAAATTACGTAGTCTGACGTCATTATATTGTTAAATTTATTAGTAGAATCCAAAGTTGTCTCAAAGTAGCCATAAAGCGAGAAATACTTTTTAAATTAATAGTAAGGTGTTTGATAAAATCAAGAATTTGTCAAACGCACAAATAACCTTTAACAATAGCAATGATGTCATGACGTAATTTATTTCTAAAAAGGAACTGGATACATCCGCCATTTTGGATCCGCCATTTTGAATTATTTACATGTAATCCATTTTACTCAAAACCTGTATAAATCGAGGTATTCCTGACAGAAAACTTGTTCTGGGTATTAAAAGGATAAAAATCTGCAAATATAAAATTCCGAGACAAATGAACACTACTGAAAATTAAACTCAGCAGCTGCCGTTTGGTCATATAAAACTCATGTTTGTTTCTCAAACTAGTCACTAAAAAGCCTTGATCTCTTTTGCTTGATACAAAAATGCTAAATTAAGTGTAATATAAGGATTTAATTTGTAAAAATAGAAATAAGACCTATTTTATTTAGAATAAATGCAAATTTTGAAAAACATGGCTGCCAGAAATTGGTTGCCATATTAACGTTAATGCTTAAGTGACGACGATTTTAAAATGTTTCGAGATAAATTTTAGTAAAAGTCGCTACGTTTGGTGCTCATAGCTTAAATTTTTTTGCAGATATTCAACTGTCTAGCCAGGAGGGCCTCAAAAGTCCCCACGGTCTGAATAGGGTTTATGTTGGAGGACTGGGGGGATGGGGAGAAACTAGCGATGGTATAGCATCAAATCTCGGGGGAGTATTATTCAATACATTTCTCTCTTACAACTTAATGTGATAAGTACCTTATTTTCATGTGCTCGATCTCTTTTTCTTTGCTTGACAGTTCTGCTCTAAGCTGTTCAGTTACCTTCTTGAAGCTGTAGATAACAAGCCCAAATAGAGAACTAAAGTGTGACGTCATAAAATGAAATTATGGGATTTGTCAGGATATTCTGAAAGAACAATGTCCAAGAGGCCTATTTGCCAAAAATGAGCTTTTCGGGGCAAATTGTCTCTTATGCTTAGAAAACTCCATACAAACCCTTCTAAATTTTTCTTTGGCCGATTCAAAAAAAAATTTCTCAATACGTACACCCTCAAAGCTCGTTTGAGTTCTTGCTAGTTCTAGATTCTATTCGATAACATGAAGAATGATAAGTAGATCTGCAGCTTACAAAATTCATTTTCGAAAACAGTCTCCATTCAGAGGAATCTTTTTCCCTTGTCGATGTGATATCTTTCGTTTCTTTGAATTCATACTGCTTGGTAATTCGTCCACGGCTCTCGTGTTTTTATACAATCAAATAAATAAACAACCTGGAAACCTTTACGTTAACTATTACGTTTCAGCTATTTCATTCAGCTCGCAGAGACCTCGTTGTTTTAACAATGTAATCCTTCATCTTAATGAAATGTAAATTAAAAACGCCGTCGTCATTCGAAATTATCCTAGTAAATCTTCGCCCTTCATTCAGCGATGAGGGAACCTTCTCTGTCAGTACGCCTGGAAAACCATGGAAATAGTTGATTAACGTCCACGAAAAGTCAGGTTCAACAGGGAGTAAAAACCCTTCGAAGACGCGTGTTCGTGGTAACCGTTGTAACGTTCCTTTCGCAATTCACTGCACTAGTCCTTATAAAAATTCCAAAAACTACAAATGTTTCGAATCAAATATGGGCGCTGTTTGTAAATTTGTTATTTAGGCCAAATTCATGCCGTTTTTTTTTTCCCCTTATTCATTAATAATCCCTTTTATATTTTATTAAATTCATTGTAAATGAGGAACAAATAATCAATGAGTGATAAGTAAAGCATTATTTCCTGACAAACCTCATATACCTATAATTACGGATCCCAAAAGACATTTTATATAAATATTGCATTTTAAAGACAACATCTTTTATTTATGGTCAGGCAATCGAAGTTCAGTTGGAGCGTAAATTCATTATTTATAAAAAATTAAGTTTATATGAGTGCAAATCAATTACTTATAAATATTGAATTTCACATCACCTACTGTAAATATGGATTTCATCTCGCCGGACTTAAACTAACCTAAGACAAACCTGCGCGCCCAAACAGTAATTAATTGGAAGGAAATGGCGGGAATTCTTCGCTTTCGGAGAGAGTCATCGTTCGACATGTTAGTTATCCCATGAGAAACAGTCTGCATACCTCATAGTCTATTACAAGGACAGACACAGACTACGGAAAGGGGAGCGGGGGAACGTGCCAGCTAGAAAGACAATACTGAAAAATAATGCAACATTTATCAGAAAAAAAAAAAAAACAACAAAAACAAAAAAAACATGGCACCGGTGTCCTCGGTCCACCCTGGGATGGAAAGCCAAAATTTGTACCCATGTTGAGGGCATGACGCTCGCCCTGTTTGATCTCTTTCTAATTTTCCGTCCAGCATGACCATCATATCCATACGAAAGCCTCCTTCCCACCCCCCACCCCCGGGTGGCGGATAACAAACGTGTCAAATCCATGAGGCATGATGACTTGTCTCCGAAAGCTAAGAATTGTCGCCATTCCCTTTGAGTAAATTACCGTGTTGATCGTCTGTTGCAAATAAGCACTGAATGTTCCTGAAAAGATCCCTCAAAAAAAGACATTTGCCCACCTCACATCTTTATCACAACTGTCGCCTCCCTTTAACTCCGCATTGTGTAATATTTCTGGTGGCGATTTCCTTCCTTGGTGTGTTGTCTCGAAATACTCGTCGTCACGTCTGTAAGTGTAAAGGTATAATTGACCAGCTTTGTATTTTTCCCAAGGAACTGATCGAGGAAAACGACGCTTTGAGATCAAGAATGAATGGATCTAGTCTTTGTCATTGATCATTGATCTTTCTCATAAGGCAAAGACTTAGTGAGAATTCAGCGATTTCGAATCTTTTTTATTCTTTTACTACTACTACTACTACTACTACTACTACTACTACTACTACTACTACTACTACTACTACTACTACTACTACTACTACTACTACTACTACTACTACTACTACTACTACTACTACTGCTACTGCTACTGCTGCTGCTGCTGCTGCTGCTGCTGCTGCTGCTGCTGCTGCTGCTGCTACTGCTACTGCTACTGCTGCTGCTGCTGCTGCTGCTGCTGCTACTACTACTGCTACTGCTACTACTACTACTACTACTACTACTACTATTATTATTATTATTATTATTATTAATTACAATTTATCATATTTTTTTAATCCATGACTACTGCGCAAGACGCATATGAAGAAATATGGCCAGCACGCAGACTATGTAGACTATCAGAGATTTAATTCAAGCAATAAACATAAGAGACTAGAGTTGCTCAAAGCCCCGTTAGTTAAAGTCCTGAGTTAAATAAAAGCAAAGCGTATGAGACGGTCTTCGTAACTAATCTAGGATTTGCGCTAATCGTCGCTCGAACAACTTGGCTCATGCAGAAGACAATTTTAAATCGGTATCGTGAAATACCTGTGAAGAGTTACGCAAAGCATTTGTTTTATATCATAATTACATTCACCTTGCATCCAGTTGCGTTCCCGTCGATTTTTCCTCTTTTACTTCCAGCATCATGATCACTTCATTAAGCATGTCAGGATGCTCTTTGACCACCTCATTAATAGACCTCAGCGATTTTATGAGATCTGCCTTCCTAGCTCGATCTTGCTCCATAATCTCTCGGACTTGTTACTTTTTGAGATTGCCTTGTGAAACCCAAGTGCACATAGCCACTTACAACAATGGATGAACATTTAATGTGTTGTCATTGTTTTGTTCTTATGACTTCTGGGAAAAACCGGAATTTTAACATCACGTGGGTTGGAAATTCCATATGTCAGTTCGACCCTTAAATAATTCCATTGTTTTGTTTTTAGTATTAAATGGGAACATCGATGAAAATGAACAAAGATGTCGTTATTTCAATATGGACGCTGTTGTAAATTAGGGGGTAGTTTATGGTAAGAAAACTTAATTCATGTGACTCTCCATCTTGCACTTTAAATTAACGTCACGTTTCTGAGAAAGAGAGCTGCAACCTTCAGGGGTCAGCTTTGTTTAGTTTTCTGAGAATTAAAGGATGTTTTGATGTAGTAAATGCTTCTCAGAATTTAGTAACTGACACGTAATTTGTCATGTTATTTTAATTATGCAAATCGTGATTAGTCCAGTGATGGAATCACTGTGCATTGACATCGGAATATTCTGGTTGAGTTTCTGCATTGATCGGTAGATTGATTGCGAAGACAGTCGCCCAGGGACTGGAAAAAATGTATTTTTATTAAGATTAGCACGACCAATTGATCTTACTCAGCATTATAAACCTGCCTAAGCCACGCAATTTTTATAAACTGTTAAGTGTGTTGTGAACTAATGAGTTAAGGGCGCACACGGGAAGGTTGCTGCTGACACGAAATCGCTGGTATAACCTCGTTCCCAGGTTCCCAGCGCTGTCTCCTATTCGTCCCTCACTCCCTCTCACACCTAGGGACGAGTAGGAGTGAAACCCTAGAAACAAGGTTGGCGCCGGTACCTGGTCACTTGGGGAGGTAGCAGAGAGTAAATCCTAGTTAATTGTGATGGCTATTTAGTGATTGCGATTTAGCGATCAGAAAACGGTAGCCATAACTTAGCTGAAAATAGAAGGGGGGTTGCTGCGATAGTTGAGAGTGGTGAGCGTACGCAACAGGACGGTAGAAAGAAGAGGGCGGAAATGAAACGTTTGTGTGACAAATGTGACAGTGCTGTCACTTGTGAGTTTTGTCGTGATCTTCAGTTAACATTTCTGTGTTCTGGTCTTTTACAAAAAAGACTGATTAAGGGAAAGTGAAGGTGCAAATTTTCAAACATAATCATCGTCACGCTTGTCATACAACGTTTGCTGTCTTTTTTTTTTTTTTTTTTTTTTAGCCGTCCTTTTGTGTAGTTCACCGCGTTCGTGACATCATTGAACCAAAAGCCGAGGACCAATTAAAGAAATGAGTGTCAATTGTGATCTTTAAAATTCTGCTCTTATTACTTGCAAATTGTCCATTTTACTTTGATATCTTTTAAACTCTATCCTAAAGTATGAAATTTCTACCACGTTTTAACACAGGCGGCCCAGACGTAGTGTGTGTCAATATATTAATATTCACATGGACAAAATGGGATGAGTCGTCGAAACTCCCATAAACTAAAATAGTCCAAAAGTCAAAATATAACAAACTAAAAAAAAAACAAGATAAGATACCTTTAACTGAACGCCTCCTTCTAATTCCTGGCCGGTTAAAGTGGCATTTTGTTGAGTCTTGCAATCGTAGGTACTATCCACTAAAGAAAAATTAAAGGTTGGCTACAAAACAAACGGACCATCTCCACGCGCCTTCACGCGAAGAGCTATAAATTCGAGAATAATCGACGAATCCGCTCCAAATTGCCATCGGCTAATCTGCAGGTAACGTGTGCTCCTCCTTCTTGCTCGCTGGTTCCTCAAAACCCATCCCAACTGTACAATAATCGCTCGCTCATCAACAAACACTGTTGACCTTTACGCTTCGATACGACCGCAAACTGCTAATACGCGACGTGAATATTCAAGCTTAGCGACCGCGTCCGCGTTACAATGGAGCACTTGCTATAGGAGGGATGGTACTACTGCTTCTAGGTCAATCGATCGGGAAAATAATATTGAAGCCCTTGTTATTTTCAAAGAGATCCAATTTGCCCTATGATCACCGAACAGATACGGAACAGATATTTATAGCGGGGCTAAACAAAAGTGAACAAGAACATGTACCACATTTCCTCCATAAAACGTGAAAACCAGGAAGTTTCTGGACGTTTCGCGTTGTAATCATGCAAATCAACGGCAAGGAAATGTACAAAAAAGTGTGCTGCAATTAGACCTATTGTTGTTTTACCCAGTTCTGGTCAAGGACATTCAAGGACAGTTTTCTATAAAATATCTGTTCGGATAAGCAAATTTTGCCGACAATTTTCTTTCACTTGGCTAAAAATTTCTGGATGACCACAAGAGAGAATGATCTTGATTCATGTACAATTTTCGAAGCTCATCTAATCACGCTAATAAATTCCCTACAATTTTCTGAAGTTTAATTTTTCACATTTCACTCCCCGGGTTAAGCTATTTTTTGTGGATAAAGAGGAATCCTAAAATGTTCGGACTCAAAAATGTGATGAAAGAAGTAATCTGAAAAATTATCTCCTTCGTAATACGTTAAATTGCATCTAAAATTTTCGGGAAAATAATTCTGATTTCCTCGTAATTTCGAAAAGACTCAAGTTCCCCTAGATTGGCCGAACACTGAGATTTATAGCGCCGCTCAGAATGCGTTTTTAAATATCTAAAGTACTCTGGACAGCCTTAAAAGTGTTTTCAATGCATTTAGGGGGAAGTCGTCGTTGGGTGCGTTTTGAAAATAATAATAGGGACGTCTTTACGATCCAACGACGATTCTTCTTTAGTGGATAGTACCTATGATTGTAAAACTCAACAAAATGCCACTTTAACCGGCCAGGAATTAGAAGGAGGCGTTCAGTTAAAGGTAAAGGCTTTGTGTTGTTATATTTTGACTTTTGGACTATTTTAGTTCATGGGAATTTCGACGACTCATCCCCTTTCGTCCACGTGAATATTAATATATTAGGGAGTTTTAGATCCCACTTTACCGCGAACCTATAACCGCTGGAGGTCACGTGACAATCTTTCGCGTCACGTTTGAGGTTTACGACGTGCGTTTCCAACGTGGGAAGGCAGGTTTTCAAGTATGTCATTTACTTGAAACATTTTAGCTTATCATTCTTGTTTTATTCCACGTAATGATACGAAAATCTTGTGGAGCAAGTCTTTATCCATTAACAGAGGCACAAATTCGGGCGAAATGCTAATTTTGATAAATCCTATTTGATCTTGAAAACAAGTGCCATTCATGGCTGATGATTCAAAATGGAGGCCGTAATCTAATCCACCGCCAATCTAAATCGAATTATGTTTGAACGCCAAACCGCAAACGGGTAACCGCAAATCGCGGTTAGAGGTTCGCGGTAAACTCGGTAAACCTCTCTATTGACACACACAACGTGTGGGCCGCCTGTGGTTTTAAAAGCAGTAAATCGAGTGTTGATATCATTGACATCTTCACATGGATGTCAGTATTCCTTCTGGAATGCAGTGGACGTTAAGTAAGGGGTAAACGGGGGGGTCTGACATAAACGTCCAGTTAACGGCAACAAAATTTTAGCACTTCTCGCCTGATCTCAGGTTACCGCGCATCAAATAATTAGTGGATAAAATGGGAGGAGGTAATGCTGCAGTGAAAACAACAAGAAAATGCAGGTTATGACACAAAAAAATATTTGTTAGTGAACTACAGCAAGATTTGTACTTGCAGAAGTACGTAATCACACTTGACAACTTTTGTTTGTAACAGTAAGGTGCAAACATAATCAGTGAAATAGAATTACATGTAGCAATGTCATTAAGGATGTTCAAGAGAATTATGAAAGTGATCATGACTTATGATTATTTCATATGCAGGCCTTCGTTAGCACTGAAGGACTGTAAAAAGCACCAATCGTTTATGCAAGTGTGCATAGTTATTTGTGTACTGTGCATGAGAAACATAGACCCATACAAGAGTGTATTTGTATGAAATGTCCGTATACAAGTCATGTAGAGGTGATAGGTTTCTCGAATCTCAAAATGCATGAGCACTTCAAACATGGTTACAACAACCATAGTAGTTTTTGAAATTCCCAGACTCTTTCAAGTGTACACTCTTTCCCTGACCAAATGAAGTGACAAATGTTTCTCATAATGGCTTCCAAATTTCCATCGCAGCCATCCTCTCCACCCATTTATTACACGAATTTATCCTTAAAGTAAAGGGCAGATTGATTTGACCCTGTCGTTTAATTTCTTGAAAAAAATATTCTACCAATCGAACACGTTTAACTTCTGTAAATATCTATGTACCAAAAAATTTTTAATATAAGGCAACAATGAAAGAAGAAAAAAAAGGAGAAATACATGATCGTTAAATTTCACTTCCATCTGACTACTTTGAAATAATTCAATTTACCCTGAGTCTAAACTACAAAACAGTCCGTATTTTTGCGTATTCAGGCACGCTCGAGCAGTCAAACAAAAGTTTGGAGCGAGACTGAAAGCGGAGAGCGAGAATGGGGAGAGACGCAAAAAAGCACGTTTTCCCAAGCTGGCACTACTGTGGCTCAAAGCATTGTCGTAGAGGACGATCTACCAAAAAAAAAGAAAACAATCCTCCAAAACTTCCATCATTCCTTAATGTCTCTAAAATATTCTATCTAGATCGCCGCGCGCTTTACTTTTGTTATGTTATAAGAGTATACATGTATTACTTTATAGCGGGGCTCCCGCGCGCGCGAAGCGCGCGTGGGACAGAGCCCCATACCCATGGAATATGGTCAACCTCTTTTCGTTTGGTTGTCACGTGATTGACCGAGCGTACGTACGTACGTACGTACGTACGCGTCTACAGATTGTATGGGTGGGGTAGGGGAGACTATCAAAAGGAAGGGAGGGGTGTCTCAGGCGTGTCTTGGCAAGCCCACATCTTTAATATAGGACATTAACAATATGGTCAATTGACAGCTGTCCAAACAGGATAGCCACTGACCAGTATCCCATGACCATATCGCGGGCTCATGTGTCAACTCATCGAGGTGACGTGATTTATTTGGAAGCTGTCCGCTGACCAGTTAACTCTTTTACTAGATCGCGAACAACGTTCAATCTCATACTTTTACTAGTTTGGGAGCACAGGAAAACTGATAATGCACACATATTGGACATCAATGTTTTGATCAATTGACAGCTGTCAAAACAGAGTACCCGCTGACCAGTATCACTTGACCGTATCGCGGGCTCAGGTGTCGACCCGTCGAGGTCAAGTATTTTTTGAAGTTATCCGCTGACAAGTAAACTAGTTTTCAAGTGATCGCAGGCTCAAGTTCAATTTTTTTTTCTTAATTCATATGAAATATGTTGTGTTTATGTGCTGCACAATTAAAATTTTGATTACAAACTGACCTCGGACGGGAAAATTCAGCCAGCTGTTACAGGCAGGAAGACAGTTGCTTTTGTTTTTTTCTCTCACAATAGTCACGCGTTGGTCACGCTCTACGTCCAATTTTTATGCTCTGATTGGTCAAAATTTGACATGTGAGTTCATGCGCAAAATTTATGCAGCATCTTGAATCTTGTTTACTTTAACAGCTGAAGCTGACAGAGTTTTGTGTCAACTTGTGATGTTTTTAACTGTCTTTTTCCACTGGATGTACAAAATGAAATTCAGCTGCTATCAGGAGTCTTCTGTTACTCATGGCTAGTTTGTTTATTGGGTTTTTGGTTGAGAAAACGTCGCTTGTCAAAGTCGGAAATCCGATTTCGGATGGCATCGTTTTCGTTTTCACCTTACTTGATGCGTAAGAGGATTGCCAAGTCTGAAGCGATACTGGCTTTACCTGATAACTTTCAGGAGCTGCATCTCGAATGGTAAGCCAGAGAAATTATTGTATTTCATGTTTGTTTTTTGTATCTAATTTAATGAAGTGGAGCGTAGTTTATGCGGGAATTTAGTTTATGCGCGTTTGTAAGATTTGAGACAACGATCTCACCGAGTATCTGGTTTGATATAATCTTACAGAACTTTAAAAAGCCTTTAGACAGTTTCTCACCGCAAATAGAAAGAAAATGTTCCAAAGAATCTTTAGTTATAATTCTAGCCGGAAAAGAAAGCTTTGAGCGATTTTCTTGCCTCGAGTTCGTCTTTGAAAAAACAAACACCGGGAAGCTGGCTTAAAACATAAACTTTAGCAAACTTAAGCTTGAAGCTTGAAGATTCAGGATATTTAGGGACACTTTAATACTTGTCTTCCTGAATGAAAATTGTTGTCTCTGTTTATGTTTCACCGAATTATATTTCTTTTATTGATTGTTGGTAGTCTCTCTTGCAATTTTAATCGCTATGCCGATTGTTTTCAGTCGTTCAGTGAACATCGCTTGCAGGAGTTCTCAAAATGCCGCGCGTTAAACCATCAAATAAAAAATAAACATGATAAATTCTTTATTATCTTGGAGCGTAACTCTGTTAATGTTCATTCAAACACTCGCTACAGCTCGCACTACAAAAGTGAGAACCGGACGGCCGTATAGGTGATTTTGGAAAATTTTTTTAACAGTTTATGAATATTGAATGAGAGCAATTTGTATTGTGAAATACTGCTTTCTGTCCATGGTATAAAAGGTTGGTTTACACGCACCCAGATTTGTTGGCAAGATTTTGCAAAGTAAACTTGTCGAACGCCAAAACGTTGGCCTGATTTTTTTTCCTAAGCCTAATTGATCTACGGTGATCAATAGCCATTACGGCTCTTAAATGTGATAAAAGATGATTACCAGTTTTTGAGTGTACATATGAGGCTATCAACTCGATGTAAGATTTGGTTCACTCTTGGGCTGTTTGCAAATTATTTTTCTCTAAAATCAGGTAGCCTTTCCCTCAAAAGTCACATAAATGTGTTCTAAAGTTAACTGAATTGTGGAATTCGAATACAAGTTTACTGTTTAATTTAAATTATAAATTTACTAATGGGAGCCTCGCTTTTAGCCCTGGCTAAATCTATATATTATACAGAAAGTGCATGCTGTTAAAGCATTCTACTGGTTGTATATTCCTGAAAGTCTGTCTTATATAATATGTAATGTCTGACAAAAATGCTGTTCTCTTTTTATCTTCATGCAGTAAATATAAGTGACAACTGAACTCAGTTAATGCTTGTAAAAAAAGAATTAGTTGAATTTCAGTTCACTTAATTCATCGTTTCCTAGTTTTGACTTGCATACTCAGCTTAAAACGTATCTTGTTTTTTTTTTATTATTTTCGCTCAAAAGCCTAATTGTGCAAAAAATCAATGGCAGTTTGAGCCATGTTTCCACTTGAAACATCCCGAGCTCTCGCGGTGATTTCCGTTCCACCGAATTCCATGCTGACTTCGATTTTTCTATCTTTCCCTCTCCACGTGTCAGGCGAAAGAACGGTGACACTCCCGAGCTTTCTCATACCAGGGTCTGTAACAAACATGGAATCGGGATCGGTGGTGGAATAAAAGTTAAAGCGTATTTCTGTGTTGTCTGCCCGTAGAGGGTTGTAAATACTCGTAATTTTTTGGCCAAATCGCACCGTAGCGTCTTCGCGTACAAACAGCTCAAACAAATTGTTGCACTTCTCAACGCCATCTACAATAAATTTCTTCTCCTCGGGATGCACACCAGGAATGAAATTACTTGAGTAGCCTGCGCCGTAAGTTGTAGAAACCACCCTCTCAGTAATTCTTCCTGGCTTTTTTCCGAAGAGCACTGCGCCCTGAACCACTGCTATGCTGGCATTGTTGGGAACGAGCACCTTGATTCTTCCTGAAAAAGCACTCTTTATCCCTTGCTGAAGAAGTGCAGAATCAGCAAATCCTCCTACGAGCAACATGATTTTCACCTTCGAAAGCTTCGGCTGTTGCAACAGGTTTTTCAGATGGTCTTTAATGAGCTCAACCGTGGGTTCAAACAATTTCTTCATCATTTTTGAGCTAAGAGCAAGGTATTCTCCATTCTTAAGAGTTACATTGCTGCTTCCATAGTTGTGCATGGCTCTAGTTTGATTATTGCTCGCCAGGGACACAAAACTGCGTGGCAGGCGAATGTTTGTCATCAGTTCACTGTCTAACATCCGGTCTCCACGTTTTTTGGCTTCAAAATCGTTTTTCAGGTTTAACCAATCAGAAGGATATTCATGGCGGTACTTTCCAACATTCTGCTCGCCAAACAGCTTCTCGAGAAGGCTCTCAAATTGTTGGTTCACTCTAATACCGCCATGTGGACCTCCTGAGACTTTCGAGACTTCCTTGATAGAACCGTCCGTCTGTAACTCGTGTACAGTCACGTCAAGGGTACCCCCTGATTACAAAGAAGTATAATAATAAAACAAAATAAAAAAGGGAACTTTTTAATATTCTTCAAGCCCAAAATACGTCCTTACAAAATAGCATAAGGAGTTGTTCTATTAACCACAGGTAACCAGGAGTGTTAGCACTGTTCGGTAATATATTTCTCCGTGGAAAATCCGTCTCGTGCTAGTCTCACGAGTGGTAAGGAAGGAAGAATTCCTTGCCCTTCCCGGCAATGTTTGGCATCAATGAGGTGAATCAGGTACTTTCGAAAACGAAGCACTCGAAAACGAAGACCGAAGCACGAAGCACCCAAAACTCGAAAACGAAGCACCCTAGATCGAAAACGAAGAGCCCTAAATCTCGAAAACGAAGCACCCAAAACACGAAAACCTTTTCGAAACTACCGGTGAATCAATAGGGAATCTAAACTTGCCTACAAGTCCAGCTCAAGTTTTTTCATCAGCGCGCAGCGCGAGCGGTAGATTTTTTAAGTTTTCTGCGGCAAAAGCGAGCGAGAGGGCGAGAGCTTGACTTGTTTCCCCTGCGAAAACTCGCATCAAGTGACGCTATTTTGTCGCGAACTTTTTGCGTCCCTGTGGCATTTGTTGTCGCGAGCTGTCAAAGTATGTCAAAACAAACAAATAACGGAAAAAAAATTCCGGTTAGAGAAAGTAAATAAAGGAATCTTTAATACAGAAATGGGGTAATGAAAAAAAGGGCCGTCTTGTAACATTTGTGAGTTCAGTCTCCAGACGTTTCTGGCTCATAAGCCATAAAAGAAAACGTAAAAAAATCAAAATAATTTTCTAGTGCGCGCGTTCAAAACAAAAGGTAATGCTTTTTCGCTCCATGGCTCCCAGGAAAATCCGACCTTTGTAAAGTACTCAAATGGAGGAAGATAAAACGCCCACTAAAGCTTTGTATTTGAATACAGGCGATAAAATGACATCGAAATACAGCTCGCAAAAAATACAGAGTTCAATTGAATTTGGATCAAAGCAGTGATCAAGTAACGTTTCATGTGGCGTGATCGTGCCGGGGTTGATTGACAGCGCATCAATAAAAACCGTTCGTGATAGGATTAAACCCACAGGAGGAAAATTCCTCCTGTAAATTTGACGCGCTGCAAGGAATAAGTCCTTCGCGCTGGGGTCTATAACTACTACCGGAAACGAGAAGCGAAGGACTTTGAGAAAGTCTATAGGGTATCAATCAATCAATGAATCAATAATTTATTTACCCAAGTTATCGTCTAAGAGCACAAGTGCTCGTTGAAAATACGAACGCACAACTTTTACTTGCAGCTGATAAAGAGCTTTGAAATACTCTTTGTAAAGATACATAAATTTTGGTAACAAGGAATGCTGAGCTGTCTTTCAAACGTTGTTTTGTTCGAGTGCAAAATTCATTCGTCTTCTTTTATATTTTTCAAACCTTGTATGAAGTAATGATGTTAATTATCAAATTATTTAAAATAAATTTATTCTCAGTATCACCCGGGCTCGGAACAAGCAATGCATTCTAAATAATCCTACACAAAGTCCTTTTTGCGGCCGAAGAATGAAATAGGCTCCACGCGGGCAGCGCAATAACAAATTCTCTTACGATATGATTAACTACGAACTATACAACCTTACTGATTCAGAGGCGTAGCTAGAAATTTTCCAGAGGTAAGCACAGTTTTCAAATCAACTTCGGCCCATCTTCCAAATCGTTTTCAAAGGGGCGAGATCACAGTTCTTCGTGATAAGGCCGTCTTCTTTAACCAACAGTTTCTGACTTAAGCGTGAGGCAAAATTGCGGAAACTGTCACATTCATTTGATTACTACGTTTTTAACAATCCTTAGAATCCCTTTGGCCAAAAAATAATTGAAGGTGGCTTCAACTCTGTTTATTTCAAGTTGGACGCTCCTCAAACAAATGTTTCTTTTGTTTATTTTCTACGGATTATTGGTGCACGTTTTTGAAATAATACGTCGACAACTTACCTCCGATATCCACTACCATGTAATGAGTGTCAGGTTGTGCCAGCAATCCGTACACGGATCCACTGCCAGTTTCAGACCGGAAGGCGTCCAAGTTTTTCTCCAAACAGGAAAGTGCAGCAGCTTCCGGTTCAAGAGCAATCATTATTTGTTCGGGTTTGTCCGAGGATCCCAAGCCAGCCTAATATACAAAATTTACATTTTTTTAAAAAAGCAGTCTCGTATTCAACCACAGTTCTCTGGGCGCTTCTGTTTTCCATAATGTTCAATTTCAACAGTGACCCAACAGTGGTACTGCCAAAATTCTTCAAGTGGACTAAGGTTCGTATCAGGATATAATACATGACGATGATATTTCTGGCTGTGGTGAATCAAGTACCAGAAATCTCATCACCAAGAAACAAAAAACATCGCATTAAATCAAATTCTGTGCTACTACTCTGATGTTTACAGCCAAATATTACTTTAATTTAGTCTTTTGCCCCTTCGTTTCAGTTCAGTTTAGATCGTTCTATTTTTGAAAAATGTTTGTCGTTGTTCGTCGTTGCAAATTCGTTCTGGAATGCCAAGTAATACAAACAGCCAATCAAGAGCTTACGAATATCTAATAACATATTTAACAGTTACAATGTGTAGCGTTTCGATACATTCCCACTCTTGATAGTCACTGAATAACTTCGCAAAAATCAAAGCAAAAATGACCCGATCAAAGTTAGCATACGCTAAGAATTTCCGTAAGGGCATATAGTTGAAATGGATAATAAGTGAGCCTCTTTGTAAGGATTTACAATTTAGTCTAGAAAATTTTGTAGCGAAAGCATGAACGGCAGTTGATTAAATTTACAACCGTTTAGTCAGTGGTGAGCTCCCCGTGTTAATTAAAATTAAAGTGACAATGCGCTTATATAGTAATCCCATTTGCAAATACCTAACCTCATATGCAGCTTCTCTCATGAACTGTTTTGCCACTGGAGTCCATATGGCTGGCACAGTGAGGACCCACTGGATATCGCTCACGCTGAAGTATGTATCTCCGGTCCTTTCACAGAGCACTTTAAGAGCTTCATCCTTTAAAAACTTGATCGAGTGAGAGAAAACGTCCAACGCCTTGACCCTTTGTCCGTTGGCTGCTTTAATAGAAGTATGAACGTTGACAGTCTGTGATAAAACAGTAGTTTTTTGAAAAATCGGTTTAGCAAATAGAAAAAAAAACACAAACGGTCATGACTTTTCGTAAATGCACGGTATTAATTGGACATAGTAGATGAAGTCCCCAAAGTTGTTTTCTTATTTATTGTAAAGGAGACCTTTATTACGCGGAGTAGCTTCAATTGGAATTTCTATTGTTACAAACTGTATTTGGCGAACACTTGTAATTATACTCCACTTCCCAACATGCTGCCAAAGATTATCACCCACAAATTCGTCATTTTTTTTAATAAACACTGAAAGCTAATGGCGAGCGGAGGGCTAAGAGAAAACCCAGGGCTTTCTAGGAATAGGCTTCCTCCACTAATTATTAAAACAAAGCATAAACATAAGTATCCAAGCAAAATCGATGGCACAGCGACCTAAAGTAAATATTATAATATATTAGATAACTGTGTTAATCATAGTTATGCTAAAAAATGTAAAGCGAAAGTTAAAAATAAGTGGAAAATGAAAATGAAAAGCAGAGGTAAAGAAAAAAAAGAACGTTTCTTTCTTTCTTTCTTTTTTTTTTTTTTTATTGTGAGAAGAGGAGTGTTTTCAGCTTAACTCTCCCAAAGCCAAGAACTGATTACTTGAAGCGTAGCTTTAGTTAAAGTGCCGTTCTTCTGTGGAACAATCTTCCTGAGGAAATACGTTCATCAATTCCATAGGTCTCTTTAAAAGAAGTTCCCATAGATGGTTTTCTGATGAATACTCCTACACGGCAAATATGTAAAACAGTTTTGAGAATTTTTAATTACTTCGCTATGTCTGTCTAATGTTTTTAACCGTGAGATGATAGATAGCCAACGAGGCGCATAGCGCCGAGTTGGCTATAATCATTTCATATCCAACAAGCCCGAGTGGAATAATTGTTTTATTAAAAACGCCCACAAAATCTCGTTGAATCGCCCCGACTAGAACAAACCGGAAAAGACAAGGGACTTCCGCTATTCACATGTCACACGTCTATCAAAACTGTCAACGCGCGAACGGACTCACGGCTAGACTGCATGAATGAAAAATCAAAACAATGTAGCAATGAACATTAGTTTTTTAAAAACTCACCGTGATTCTAGGATTTTACACAGCAGAACAGCTTAAAAAACCTGGCAGATAATGTGAAGGAAAGGAATTTTTAAGTGACAGCCGTCGAAATTACTATGAATTTGGATTTTCGGTGCAGCTATAAAAGTAAGAACAACGGAGAAAAACTACCGGTATTACCTCGGTCGCTTGTTGTGAAGTTGTTTGAAGCCACAAGCTGGTTTTGCTGAACGAGAAAAGAAGCTATACTGCCGCCTCGATTGCTCTAGTGAATGGCTGCATAGCCTGTATTTGTAGCTGGTTACCTGTGATTTATATTCTTGATGTCGGATAAACAAGCTGCAGTTATATATCGGCGAGTGACTCGATCGGCGAATGGCTTCGCGATCATGAAGAAACAACACTTGTCTTCTTTCGTAGCTGGTCAAGGTACTTTAGTTCCATGTGTTTTCATGTGTTTTTCGACAAACTTTCAAACAAGCTCTTGTGGCTTTTTTGTTTGTTTTCGTCGTTTTTCTTTCGCTGAAATTGCATTTCTAGTATTCTAAAAAATGAATTAAAACGATTTGCTTCGGGCGCCGTTCTATCCTTCGCGAAAAAAAATCTCAGCTAGCTTCCAATTTTAAACTGACGCGTACACCGACCATATATGGAGAACGTGGTATATTAGCTCATATACCATAACGGCTAAGCCAATCAAAATGCTAGAATTGCATTATCCAATGATTCAGTTTTTAATAAATATATATATATATATATATATAACTTGCACAGAAGAGAATCGTCTTCCAACAAATAAAAACTTTATTCAGACCCAACGCGTTTCGGCGTCTGCCTTCATCAGGGGTCTTTTCATTGGGTTCATTAATCAATTAATGATCTCTTATTGTAACGTAATAAAGAAGTGTTCCTTAGTTGATTAGTTCCAACCAGTAATCCTGTTCTAATAGGTTAATTACACTCGTGTGGGCGTAGAGTGGAATGACCCCTATAATTTACGTTCTAAAACGTTATTTATGTACTGAATACTTTATAAAGGTATATTCGACTCTGAGTTCTAGCCCATTCTCTTATTGAGACCGTTCGGTTGCAGTGTGTTCAGCCGACTTTGCCAAAATATTTCTCTAGCTCGAAGTATTTCTTTTTTTCCGTTCAATTGTCATGTTACTCCGTTTGATTTGTTCAATAATCGTAATTGTGACGTCTTTGCCAAAGTCATGAGACCTGCTGTTGTGAAGAAAGTGCTCTGATAGTTCACAGCTGTTGACTCCTTTCTTAATATGCTTCCTACGATTATTAAGGCGCAGGTTGAAATATATATATATAAATGAACACAAGTGAAACTCTAAAAATTGCCTTGAACGGGATTTGAACCCGCGTCCTCGACTTTCTAGCGCCGATGTGTTAACCACTACACCACCAAGACAACCACGCTAACGCGCAGTCGAATTGAAGGCTTTATGGCTCACGGGACTCCCCAATTTTTTAGAGTTCACAGTGGCCTCTGTGACCTCGAAAAAATTGTTTCACTTGTGTTCATTTATTTCTTTCTTTCACTGGTTTCAGTTCATTTGTGTTAATGTATATATATAACTAATATATATATATATATATATATATATATATGGTTTCAGTTCATTTGTGTTAATGTATATATATAAATATATATATATATATATATATATATATATATATATATATATATATATATATATATATATATATATAATATATATAATATATATATATATTGATGAGGCCCAGAAGGCCGAAACAGTACTGTCTGCAGTTATATATATATATATATATATATATAAGTTATCATCCATTCTTTTAACGGCCTTTAGTCAATGAACACGGATTGAATAGAGGAGTTCACGCTTGTAGTTGCCTCATGGGTAATCAGGACAAGATGGCGGGAAATTCAGAGGTTTCTATTAGAATCCTGGCAAAGCCAGCTAATTCTTCCTGAATTCATATATTTGATGCTTTCTCTTTGAAAAGACTAACGTACCAGTTCAAAAAAGCATTACACTAAATCTGGAGTGCAAAGAAGTCCGTGATCAATTTTAAGAAAACCTTTAGATCTTCCCATACATTTTCTGTTATTTGACAGTATCAAAATTACAGAAAATGTATGGAAAACAAACTACCCGACAAATCGAGTCCTCGGACGCTTTCAAGACAAAAAAGGTAGCTGCCCTGTGCGGGCCGCAATGAGTCTTGTTTACTGTGTTGTTCAATCCAGTTTTCATGCTTTTGTTGACACTATACCTAAAGAGCATTCACATTCATATGAAAGCGGTTTCGCCCGCACTTCCTAGCCAACGGCTACTGCTAATTATATTTAAATACATTTAGTCCTGCAATGGGGTAAATGAAAGAGCTCCGATCCTCTAGTGCCGTAAAAATGCACCCATCGTGTTGCCAAAAACATCAGTATTGAAGCTACCCTGTTTCCTTCTTAACAGAGAGCTTAGTAAGACAAACAAGTAAGCAAAGTTTTCAAAGATTTGAGGTGATTTCGTGCGCAATGGTCAAGAAAATAGGTTTGGGAATTATCTCAACAGAAGAGTGTATCTGAATTTCAATAATGTTGATGTTAAGTACGGTTCCAAAAAATGTTTTATAAAACGCGCATAGATTCAATTCAATCACATTGAATTTTGCCTTGTTCTAAGCCATTTTAGTTGAGATGAAAAACTGTCCCATGAAATATATTCTTCAGAAAATGTCCTCTGTGTCCATTCATTTATATTGCGTTTGTTCCATCTGGTTTTCTCTTGGCCAGGTGCACGATGTTGGTGACCACCTCTTTGTAAAAGATGGTATTGCACTACATTTACTGTTACAGTTCCGCTAAACGCGTCTATAGAAACTTAATTCTTTGCACGGTTGCTGTGCAATCAATGTGCATTATAACGAGTGCATATGTGCATAACGCTTTCATACAGTGTATGAAGAAATAAATTCGCTGTCAACGAAATGTGGTGTAGTTAAAAGACTCCATTTTGCCCTACTTTTCACCAAAAATCTTACGATCTCACTTACCTCTACAATAAAACTGCATTGATCGAAATGCACAGAGGTTTTTTTATGTGTGCATTTGTGCTTCAGTTTTCTAAACAGTTTTGCTAAAAATTCAAAACATGAGCATTTTGGGGCTATATTATGATCTAACCTATACCTCGTCGTTGTGAAGAGCCATCTTAAAATGCTGGAAAAAGTAATATCTCTTTTCACTGGACTGATCCTGAAGTTGTGCATACTTTTCAACTGCCTTGTATCCGAAGGAGTCAAATGATTGGTCTGGTTTGAGCAGCAGGGAAGTTGGTGTCTTACTTGTGCGAATACCTTGTTCATTTATCCACTCTCTGTTAATGAATATGGACTTCGTTCCGTGGTCTTTTAGGAATGAAAAAGCAAATCCGCTGTAGGTTGTGCCAAAGTCGATTGCGACAACAGCCACATATGACGTCTTCGGTGAATAAAGCACTTAAAAAAGAAAAGTAATGGAAACACGACATTAACGCCATCATCCTATATTGCTGCTGCATTACAAGATGTATGGCTCAGTAAAACCGAATTGGTGGGTAAACTAACTGAAATTTGGATTTTTATGTTTACTGTGGGTACCGCGCTACTTGGAGTGTGAAAAGAACCGTTAGAGACGATATGGAACTTCACAAATAAACAAAGTCCTAAAAAAAAAATAGATGTGTCCAAATCGGTCCTATTGTAAGAGGCTTCTTATGGCTCGATTCCTGTAGGCGACAACAATCTAAACTCCAGCTTTATACTGAACAATAAAGCTCCGTAAAGTTGGACACTTACCATGACTTACGCGTCAACGTCAACCTCCGTATAGTTAACCTTTACAAATTCGGAAAGATGCGTAACGGTGGATAAAGCGTGTCTTCAAGGTAGTATTTCTCCAGTTGTATCGAACAGTAAAGTTAGCATTTCGTGCTGTGATTCCTTAAGCTAAATTTTCACTTCTTGGGTGGCCGCTTACGGGAGTTCGACTAACTTCTTAGCAGCTCAACACAGAGCACGATTACCTACTCTGATCTGGGGAAATGAGAGAAATCGCGCGCTTAGCACTAGGCTCGATTTCCACCATTTTCTCGGTCCTCCCCGAGAAGAGACGGCTGTACGCGTGAGTGGCCAATCGTATCTGTGACGAAAATTCAAAATTTTCTTTATGTGTCGTTAAGAAACATTGCGAATGGGAAATGTCATTAAATACCGAACACATGTTGTGCTTTGAATTGCCTCGTCGTCGCTTTGGTATTGGACATCAACAGAAACAGGTACTAAATCTTGCATTACCGATGGACTTGAGTGTCGTCTCTTTCACTTTAGCTGTCAAAAAGCATATAGTTCCGGTCGGCTGAATTTCAAAAACATGTCTACCATTTGACCGCTTCTCTAAGCTAATACTTTTCTTTGTAAATATTTTAGGTTTTTAAACTTAAAACGCTCAAAAACAGGATCGCAGGCCACATCAAACAACACCTTTGCATCCGCCGTTCGAAATCTGCTCTAGGAAAATAAATTCATGCTACCTGTTCGATTTGAGCAGGTAACGATCTGATTGGTGGTAATTGATAATAGCAAGCCCATGCGTCCAACCTGTCTGTTCGGGAGAAGAGCGTGGGCTCATTTCCCAAAAAGCGGCTGGTAATCGAGCCTACAATAGCTTAGCACCCGCGCTTTAAGATTCGAAAAGAGCGCTCCGTTACCAAGACTTAATGAATACCGACTGATATCTAAATCAAAACAATGCGCACTTTCATGCTTTTTTTCTGGACAAGAAATATGTGGAAAGAATTGACCAAACAAAACAACTTGAAAAGACTACTTCAGTGTAAGTAATTGCGTTCGACGAAGGAGAAAGCTTGCTATTCATGTACCGTACATGAGATGGTAACCGTTCTGTTTGCCATGCGATTACGCGGTTTACGGTTGGTCGCGGCTAGATGGACTCCCTCAGAAGGAGGTGATCGAGAAGGACTAGAAACGAGGGTTGCTTTGGCAATCTTCGTCTCGTGAGACAAGATGGCGCATCTCGCGATCTACTGACGTCGTCGGACTTACAATTTCTAACACAATTTAAGAATAAAGAACTTTGAACGGCAAGGGAAATGTTATTGAAATTACTTTAAACTCTTCTGTTCCGTAAACACAGGGAATCTTTCGATAATAAGAGTATAAGAGAGCTTAACCTCAGAATAGCTAACATGGAATCCCTCAGAAGGAGGTTGGCATCACTCAGAAAGAAGTGTTATGTATAACCTGTAAATGGAATCCTTCAGGTATTTTTGTGTAACTTGTAAATGGAATCCTTCAGAAGGAGTTTGAAATCCCTTAGAGGGAGGTGTTTGTGTCTAACTTGTAAATGGAATTCCCCTAAAGGATTTTGATATTACAGGATTTTTGTATCCCTTATGGAAATCTCTCAGAAGGAGATGCCTTTTGCTGAGATATGGTTTCAAAATTAAATAACAAGGAAAAGTAAGTACAACTAAATATTGCAAGTGTAGCTGCTAGCCAGCCCAGGACCGCGCGGTAGTGTAATTTTCGCGCCCTTTTGGGGTCAGGTGACCAAGCCGTTATTTTTAAGTTGCATGATCGTTAGCTCGGCGGTCAGAGATTACTTCGCTCGCTAGTTCAGCGATGGATTTTGGTTTTTCTGGACAAATTTATAATAGGATCACAAGGTATTAGTCTTTCTTTCGTTTCCTTTTTTATTTGGTTTATTATTTCGCCCGTTGTAATTTTCTAGTTAAGTTTGTATTCGTATTTGTTTGCTCGTGTCTACATACCCGGCAGCCGGGAACTGTTTTCAAAAAACTAGATACCCGGCAGTCAGAAATTTTGACCAATTTTCTCGAAATGGCTCGTTTAATTCCTCTAAGAACATAAGATATTTGTTTAGAAATGTCAAGCGATTATAAATATTGCCTTGGGTTAAAAGTAGAAGCGACTGTCGAGCTTGGGCATAGAGTGAAATCTCAATGTTTTCGACACTTAGAAAATATTCAAGTTCTGACACACTAAGTCAACTCCCGATGAATATCCACAGAAATTATCAACGAAACCTCACCAGAGTATTTAGTGTTTGTTCAGAAATGCCAAGTGATTCTAAATAAAGGTTTTCGTATTGTTGTGGACAAATTCTCCGCGCTTGCATCAAGCATATTCTTTAGAATCTTGACTCACGGGTACGGTTTTCAAAATACTAGATGCCCGGCAGTCGGAAACTCACCACCAATTTACACGAAATATTTCATTGAATTTGTGTAAAAACATCAGGAAGTTGTTTAGAAAACTCAAGCGATTTCAAACACTGCTTTGGGCTTGAAGTAGGGGCAACCGTCGAGCCTGGGCATTGCATGCAATCTTCAAAAGGAGAGGCCGTTCAATGGGTAATTTCTGTTCTTGAGATCTTGGAGATTGCAGCATGGCGTCTGCAAGCGGACCTGAGTCTAGGTCTGTTTTCCCGTGACTGCGAAATTAGAATAACATCTTGAAATAATTCTCGCTCTAACCTTCGTAAATGAATCAGCTTTGCAGTGCCTTACCTGAGATAAAAAGTGGGCCGAATAGGAAAACATTTCTAGCGCAATTTGGATCCTTTGCAGCACGTAGTGTTTTGTTAAGTGGCGATGGTATCAATGACTTTTAACTAGTTACTCACCTCCGATTGCGTGACCAGGCAATTATCGATTGTCTCCTGCGAAAAATAAGTGCACGGGAAACGAATGCTTTCGGGATACAGTAAATTTATTTTCCTGTATGACCAGCTGTCCTTTTGTCCTATTTTAAAAGTGGTTAACTAAGACGGTTAGCAAACATACCGTCCCACTTTAAAAATGGTACAGTAACTGAATGTTCTGTTTTCTGATTTTACCCCCAACCGCGGAGTGTTCAGAAGATATATTTGCAAAACGCATGAAAGGCAAATGAATTAATTTTTTAAGGTTCAAGGCGGTTTTAAGGCACGGGCTATCAGTGGATTAGTCATGACTTGTCATAAGGTGCATTGAACAGAAAATTGCAGTGATGATATCTCTGCTATTGTATGTCCGTTAAGTGATTTTCCGGCAAACATTATTTTTCGACTTTTTTACCCCAAAAGTTTTTTCCGTTCAAGTCTTATCTATGAGATCTAAACTTAAATAAATTTCTGTCATTTGTTGTTAAATGCAATTCTGCAAACAACTAAGTATTTAATTCTGCGTAAAAGCTGCATGAAATTGTCTTGTTTAGCCGTAAATCATTAAAAAGAGAAAGCATTAGACTTTCTCTTTTCAAGTCTAGTAGGACTTGAGCAATGGCATTGCTTAAGTCCTCCGGGTAGTTGTTCTCCTTGTCTGCTAAGGAGGAAACAGTTTGCTCTTTTCAAGAAATTGTTCTTGCCCATTGCGGTTTCAAACCAAGGATAGCAGCAGGTCTGTCGTGGTCATATACCGCTACTTCAGTGCAAACGAAGCATAGGCGCACAAGTCAGCGCTTGCGTTTAGTCAGGTGCCGAAAATGAAGTGGAAACGTAACCCCAAGGGCGTCCATGTTCGCTACGGCTCGAAAAGGTAGAATACAAGATAGTAAAGCAGTTGTGCAGTAAAAAGTAATGCGAAAAACCTTCGGGGGCTGGGGAAAGAAAGGTGTCTTATTTTTCTTTGGCTTGTTCTATTTTTGCGACGTGGTACAGGCTACGAAATACTGACAAGCTCACATATGTCTTCACCACCGAGAGTCACTTGCCCTTAGCCGGACACGCCCCTCACGTATCGTGTCTCGTTCTTAAAGTTATTTCAAAGCACAGAACCAAACCTAATCAGCGGCCGAAGGCAGAAAGGGGGATGAGCAAACGGATGTCACAGCATATTTTGCAAGAAACCGGTATCCTTGTGCCTATCGACTCAGGAACGATTGATTACTACTAGAATTAATATCAGGTCAGAACTTGAGTGCTACAATGGGAGGGAAGGAAGAAAAGGAAACCGCCGCGCACACCTGTTAAGACTTTTATAAACTTTCTCGTCCTGGCGGTTTCAAAGAAGGGCATTGTGGCTGCTATTTAATTTACAGTGTTTGTTGCAGGTGTTGAATTAATCTTACAGCAACTGGAAACGTGGCCACGCCTGCTGAAACTGATATTGCTTATAGGATGAACGGCTATAGTTTGGTATATTCACGAGCGCGTTTTGTCCAGTGAACTGAGTGCGTAGTTTTCTTAACGAAGGCATGGGTGGGTCAAGTGAATAGTTCGGGGAAAGTTTGCTTTCTTTAGGGGGGAGGGGGGTTATATTTGTTGATATCAGGAGTTCTGGCCTGGATAGAGTCGTTGTAAAGCTATCTTTTCTTCGCAGTATCGGTTTACCGGAAGCTGAACAAGGAAAAGTCAATGGTGCATTTATGAAATAATTATAGAGATTCTCACGGTCTAACAGTACGACGATTAGACTTCTGGGAAGGTGGCAACCATCAAGGCCCGCATTATAATTCATGATAATTGAAGGTCATGATGTGGAAAAAGCGACTCAAATGGTGGATGCCATGCAATTCTCAGTCGCGGGTGGGGGCGGCGTACCTGGCCTTAACGGTTGCCCCTGCGACAGAAGGCAAGCATGTCCAGATTGTCCACGGGTTGCTAACGAGACCGTCCCTTTCTTAGTACCCGTTCCCTGTCTTATGATTAGACCCGGGCAAATTTCTCGGGATTGCACCATCATTTTGGGCTTAAAGCTTCCAAAGTCCAACAATTATAATAGCGCATGTTCGCGACGGTTTTTTAAGTCAGTCAAGTTCTTAAACCAGACCTTAAACGCCCAGTTTTAAGTGTCGATAACAGTAAAAAAGGCATACAAGCCTTATGCAAAAGACAGTGGGAAGGAAGTGCACATCGGTGATGGGGAAAAAGGAGTAGCCCACAGTTATTTAGGGGTGGATCTTTCGAAACATTCTTATACTCTTGGACAGATATGCATTGTTTATGCATTCCCAGGTTTGTTTACTCACCTCAGCAATACACTGCGTTCCCTTGCTTTTTTTCCACGAAGGATACAAATTGCGCAAGAAATGTTTTCCTGTTCGGCCCACTTTTTATCTCAGGTAAGGCACTGCAAAGCTTATTCACTTACGAAGATTCGAGGGAGAATTATTTCTTGATGTTATTCTGGTTTCGCAGTCACGGGAGAACAGACCTAGACTCAGGTCCACTTGCAGACGCCATGCTGCAATCTACAAGATCTCAAGAATAGAAATTACCCATTGAACGGCCTCTCCTTTTGAAGATTGCATGCATTTCATTAAAACAGGTACATATAAAAAGAATCTTGTTAGTTTCTCCCTTTTAACAAGCTCAAATCGACGCATAAAACTAAGGTGACGTGCACATGTCAACTGACCCTGGGGTCAATTAGCGGTTGTTTGGGGCAAAATAACCTCAAAATAATCAATCTATTTTACAAGCGTTCGCAAGAACACCAGACTAACTTTCAGATAATGTTGAAGTACTATATCTCATTGGGTAGTAACCGGCATTTGGGGTGATTTGGAGAATTCCCCCATATAAAAAATTCGATTTTGGTTTTAGCGGTAAATTGTTGTATTTATAAGCATTATGCAAATTATGTTTCAAAATTGTGCTCGTTGGCGATATTTTATTCTCTACATCTAAAAGAATGTGCTGTTTAGAAATTGTTAGATATCTGTTTTTTGAGATTTAAGTGGAAGATTGCCAATATATTCGCTCGTTTATGAAAGTCAGCTCAATTCTGTCACTGGGCTATTTTCCCGAGTTCGGCGGCGGATTTTAGGCCCGCAGGCCGTTGAAATCGAAAATCTCATATAATTCCCAAACTCGGCCGCCTTTTGAAATTTAAACCTCAGCAGTGTTATAAGCTCATTAAAACCTTATTACAGACTGAAAATGAGGGTAAGTTAGGTTTTGAGCTGTGGCCACGATTTGCCGATTTTGCTCGATTTTTCTGTGCATTTGCTCTTAAAATATTACCTTTGTCTCCTAGCCCTTCTTATGATTATGGCAGCTATATTGAGGATCATTAACCAGAAATTATTTTTGACCTACAACAGATATATGCAAACCCTTAAATAAATGCAATTTAGCCACGTGTGTTAATGACATCAGGCAAAAGTGCATCCAGAAATTCCAATGCCAAAAAATTAAAACAGATGGGTTCTATTTACAAGTTATACATAAACAGAGTGTACCCCCTTCTGAGGGATGCCAATCTCCTTCTAAGGGATTCCATTTACAAGTTATAAGTAAACACCTCCTTCTTTAGGGATTCCATGTTAGCAATAGCCCTTTGCACTAATGACGTCACAAATTTTTGGTCCCTGCTGTGACACAGACATTGAACTTGACCAATACGGTATAAGAGTTTTGTATGGGAAAGTCAGGTTCTCCAACAAATTTTCGTTGTCTTTGAAAGTTTTTATCGTCAAAAGAAACAAAATCCAGCTTGGTTTCGATAACATATATCGTGATAATAATCAACGTGTGCCAAGACAACGTTAAACGTGGAAAAAAGTGTACAGATGAGTGATTTCATTTCCTATGTGGTGTCATCACTGTGGGTGAAAGTATGTTTCGGCATTTTACTAAGAAATGTATGGAGAGCAGGCCTTCAAAGCTGTTCATAGAACGGTGCATTAGGTTAAATTCATACGCAAAGGCTGTTCAGTTATTATTATTATTATTATTATTACTATTATTATTATTGAGTGCTTATATTACGCTGCTTAGTACTACAGGATATAAAGTACTCTATGGTGTCTACCTGGCCGCACAACAACAGAGAAAACTTATACAATTTCTGGTTTGTTCTAATGTTGGTGTGCTTTCCAGCTTAGAAATTCCGCCACAGGCTTGGGAGAAGCACATATACAAACTCGATTTTCTCTCTTTAGCAATTTTGGTTTTAGAGTATTACACGGCCAGAATTTCGATGTATAGAGTGCTATCTGACTAAGACAGAGCAAGGGATGCGATTTTAGTAGCCTTTTTTGATCAGCTCGCTTTATTTCTGATTTTAACCGTTTATTTGAATTACTTGGACCAGTTTTTTGCTCCCAGTAATGCCTTTTATGTATTAGAATAAAGCTCTAAAAACATTTTTAAAACGCTCATTGCGAATTTTATGAACAATTTTCATGTCAGAAACGCATGTTGCTCATACAAAGCCTATGAGTAGAATGCAAAGTTTGTCTGAGTCACGCAGGGGGTCTAAGGTGACAAAACCTATTTTTAGTAATAGTGCAAAGCGCTATTCTGAGGTGTTTGCTCCCTTATGCTCTTATTATCAAAGGATTCCTCATTTTTAAGGAACAGTGGAGTTTAAAATAATCTCATCTACATTTCCCGTAACGTTCGAAGTTCTTTATTCGTAAATTCTGCTAGTCCGACGAAGTAAGTTGATCGCTAGGTGCGCTATCTTCTCTCACCAGCCGAAGATCGCCGAAGCAACTCTCGCTTCTAGTCCTCCTTGATCACTTCCTTCTGAGGGATTCCATCGCGACCTTTACGGTTTGGACGCCATCATGGACAGGCTGGCACATTTTGCCTCGATTTCATGTGTTCAGTTCGCCCGGGAACTGGTATCTACTTGTCACACTCGCATTGGCTATTTCCTGTTTACTACAGGTTTGTTTACCGTTTTTTTTTTCCCAGTTTTCAATTACGTTATATATATATATATATAGAAAAAACTCCAGTCTTAAGATAATCGGATATGTAGATATTATGTTAGTAATGTGCTCTGCAAATAGACCTTGTCACGGTTTTCGACGCCATCTTGACGAGTAGGCAAACGCGTGAGAAATTACAGTATGAGAATCTAATTTCAATAAATTTCCGTAGAACAGCTGTTCTGAAAAAAATATGATTTGAAAACTAAATCTTCACACCTAAGGATTCTACTGGAAAAATTTTGAGGGCGTTACATGCAATAGAAGACCTAGAACCACTTTTTAAATTTCCTATACATTTGTCTCTAGGAAAGTCCCGGGAAAATTACAGACAAACATATGGAAAATCTAAAGCAAGCCTCTGGAGAAATTTAAGCACAGGTACGCCTCCAAAATTTTTCAGGGCAATCCTTTGCTTTGTAGCTTTAGTTTACAATTGATATTTTTTTTTAGAACAGCCGTTTTAGGGAAATCATTCGACATTAGATTCTCATACAAACACTGTAAGTTCTCACACGTTTGCCTATTCGTCAAGATGGCGTCGAAAACCGTGACAAGGTCTATTGTATTTGTTTTTATCGATTGTACAAAGCAAAATCAGCTAAAATACAGATCGGCCATATTTAATTCTATTACAAAATACATATTTTCGCTTTTAAAAGCCATTTACAGCATTATTCGCTTTCGTCTGTCACCATTTTTGAAAAACATACAAGAAGTTGAACGGTGTAGCGAACGTTGACCTTGTCATCTTACTAATTCCTGATGCGTGTATTTGTAAGACAGCACTGAGTTAGTGAGTCGTGTTAGCGCAGTGTCACGCAAGAAGGGTGTACTCTGGACTTCAGGTGACAGGGATGATCGTATGGGGGCAAAAATCAAAACCAAAAAAAATCGCTGGACCAACATTTAACCACCCCCCCCCCCCCTTCACCCCCGTCTAAAGCCCATGCCGAATTTTTCGAGCCATAACAATTTCCAGAGGAAATACGCGGCCGGGATACTCGGGAACTATCACGAATCTTCAGATTGTTTGGAATACCCTAAAAAATCCGTACTTCGATCATCCCTGTCACTTGAAATCCGGAGTACCCCCCGTCTAGGATTTTGGCCAAGGTACTATGTTGTTTCTTGCAAATTAAATGTCGCACTGGTGACAGTAATACAGTGTAGTGCCAATTCCATCAGAGGCGTTACGCGTTGTCGTTATCGACGGGAAATTACGATTGCTGTGTGCGACGAGTAGTTAGATAATACTATTTTGTCTTAAAAATAACAAGTAGTTTTTGTATCATATATACCGTCGACATGCCGGGCTTGTTCGCATAGTGAAGCTTTTTCCAACATTTTGCCCCTTGAAATAATATTATTAAAAAATGTATTTCATACCTTCTGATGCCATAATCCTCTGCTATGCTCGTTAAATGCCAGCCGTCAGCCAGTAAATAAAAAATGCGTTTTGCAGTGTAGCTTCTTAAGCTCCAACTACGACCAACTAAGCCTATCTTCCGAGAAACAAAATCTTAATTTGATGTCCATCGTACCCATCGACAATTAAGGGGCGGGTGTTGCCATATGATTGACAGAAACTTCCTCTATTTCCTAGAATTGAGGGTAATAATAAATTGACGTACTTACGGTTTATTGGAAACAATCAGATCTTTCAAACTCTAAAACGATTTTAGAATACTAGAAGATCTGTTACAACACCATGTCCGTGAATCAAACAAGAGTAGTTAAAGGTCGAATCATATAACAGGATCTCCAGTGTTTTTGAGAACAGACCAGTTTCGATACATGAAAATTCACACTTAGTTTCGAGGCTTGGGGGAATAAAACAAGAACAAAAATATATTATTCATTAATAAACAGGAAGGTGATTTCTTTTTTTTTATTTCCCTAAGCCTCGCAGCCAAATATGAATTTCAATATATTTGGAAACTGGCATGGTCTATTACTGAGTCACGCACATTTTTTCAGGTTTGTCGCTCTCCATTTCTGAGAAACCCTTCGACTGTAAACATATGACGTCGTTGTAATCGGACACAATAGAGCTGATATTCCGAGAAACTGCCTACGGCTAAATCAGGGCTCAACAACACAATACTGATAAATCGTTGAAAAACTTTCATGTCTGATGCCTAACAATACCCCACAATCCTGCACAAGGATCAGAAAGTGTATTCTAGGTGGCGTATTCACTGATTTCATCCTCGGCGAAATATAACGTTTTTGAAATACTAAGACTTTGCGCATGTATATCCCATAGTCCCGATGAACTGCCCCTGGGATTCTGAGGACGTCCGATTGGCTGCATATGTCATAACATCAGTCATATCATGGGATATATTGCAATGTATTTAAAGTTTACGAGCGGGGATGGGGAGACTCTCGAGTCATGCATTTTTAACTTCCGGTCCTCCTTCCAGGAATCTGAGCCCGGTGTGATTTCATGCAAATAATGCCAAAGATCTTAACTAAGAATGCTGATTATTATTATTATCATTAGTATTATTATAATTTTCGCGTCGATCGCAATGTCCTCGTCTCGTCCAGGCAGAGCGATTCGTATGGATGGAGATACTCTTGTCCAACAGGCGAAAGATTTAACACATGCAATTGAGGAACTCCTACAGGAAAACAAAGACCTTAAAGAGACCTTACAGAAGTTTCAAGGAAATGAACCTCTCCTTACTACTGATTTAGGGTAAATGAATCATGCCAATCAACCTACACCTTGATGTAATCGGCCAGCATTAGTAGAATTCAAGTCATTCTTATGCCTACGATGACTAGGAAGGTTTCTTACGAAAGCACTATTGCGTTTTTAGCCGTGCAAGAAACATGTGGCATCAGTATCATTAAGAAGATCAGAGTTCTTAGGTTATCGGAAAGACTTCTTTTCGTGACAAAAACCATACTCTTTGGCCTTAAATAGTTCACAAATGAAACGCGATATTTGTGCGACGTTTCACAGGTGACCATAAATTAATTATCCAGAGTGTTAGCCGGCCGAGATAAGCTGCACTATTTTCGCTATTTGTGAGCTACAAAAAGTGTTTGTTATTTTATTATTATTTTTTTCTTGAAGAGAACAAGACCAAACACATAACATTAACCTTTCCAAGATGAAAGAACTTTTAACAGAGAAACAGTGCGAGGTGGAAAGTCTACAAAAAAGGTAACATATATGAAATGAGTTAATAACTTGCAAACACTCGTATACCCCATAACATTTAAACCCTATTTAGACCGAAGGGGCTTTTGGATTTGGGTTTTGCAAATAAATTTAACAATATGACGTCACAAGGACGTTAAGATACGTCGTTATATCAGTCAAGTTATGGCTTAGTGTCGGAAACAATAAGGAAATTACTCTGTGTAATTTTGGTGGCCGTGTCATGAGCGGGTTTTAAAGATTTAGAGGGAGGGAGGGAGGGGTTCCCTCCCTTCGATCGATCGTAGCAAAACATGATTAATCGTCACAACGTTTAAAGGCCCATCCTTGATGCAACGCGGTCGTTTGTTTTTGTTTTGAAAACGCGCTTTTGTAAATGGCGCGCTCTTATTGGTCAACACTTTTGCCATGCAAAAGGACAAAATAGTCAAAGCTAGTCAGCTGTGGTCGCGTCGGGATGTTACTAGGGACTTTAAGATCTGGGACGCGACGACTTCTAGAACGCGGTGGCTGATAAAGGACTGGACCTGTAGAACGCCGTCGTTTGCGCGCGAAAAGTAAAGTTAAGATCTCGGTCGCGATGCAAGACGACGCAGCTGCAAACCGCTCTTTATCAGTCTGATTCTTCGGCGATTCTTTCGCAGAAATAGCCATGGCATCATTTAAGAAAGTCCAAGAAATGCTTTGTTTGTGCTTTGTTCGATACCATCACCTCCACTTCTTGGTTGACGCTTCGGTTTGTCATCGCTTTCATCCTCTGATGAACCTCTTTTCTTCGTCTCTGACAGCTTCTCCATCGCTTTTAGTCTAACATCTTTCACTTTAGCCCGATCGTATTGACGTTTTTTGCTAGCTGTTCCCTGTGTTTCCTGTAATTCCGCTTCGCCACTTTCCTCCAACGCGATGATCATATCCAAGAGGTTTTCTAGTTCCGTTGGCTCATCGGGAGTTATCCCAGTTGCTTTTTACTCCGCTAGAAGTTTCTTCTTATGCTTGTAAACAAGGATTCCCACGTGGTCTCGGACTGATCGCTTATCAACCCTGAATTTCGGCACAGTGAATTTGTTCAAGTTGTCTGCTATTTTTTCCCACATTCTACTTCTTTGTGTTGACCCTTTCTTAGTTGTGTAGGAATTTACATTGACGACTTCTCTGCATAGAATGGCTTCATGATCATGAGTCCAAAACATTACTGAACTAAAGAGAAGCATCAAAACACACGCAGTTTAATAAAATTAAATTAAATAATACAGGCTTAAAATTGGCTTTTAGCCGCAGATGAACGCAATAAATCGAGAATTGCAACGGTACAAGAGACGAGAAGAGTATGCAGAAGACTCCAGCATTCACTATTTCCAGTTTTAGCTCGTGACTTACTTGCAAGCCTCGCTCGAAGTCGAAGTCGAAGGCGCTGCCATTTTATAAGCTTCGTACACCTGAAAGAAATTTAAAAATGATCAAAATCCTTCCATCTCTGCGATCTAAAATGTCGCCAGACATTACGTCCAATGATCCTAGGAGGCTGATGTTACATGTTTAGAGGAATATACCATCATTTAATTCAAGCACAGGAACAAATATACTCACGTTTTGTGCAGAACGTCAAACTCGCAAAACCCACGTTCTCGACGCGACGTGGTGACACCAGGACAACGGCTTGAGCATGCGCAACATGTCTCCTCTTTGAAAATCTACTTCCTGTCGCGTCTTACAGCCGTCGCGTCTCGGATCTTAAAGTCCCTACTAAAACGGGGAACGGGGAGCGGGGAGCGGGGAACGGGGAACGGAAGTCTGGGAACGAGTTGTCAGCGGAAACCTCCATAAAAATCTAATATGGCCGATGATCGATGATAGAGAACCGTCGAAACAAACTTAACCGATAACGGCGTTATTTTACTTGAACTATATGCTCATGAGGTGCTTGAAATAATACGGAGGTAATAACTTCATGACGTTTTTCACCTTTTTGCGTTTTACTAAACAATTATCCCTATAGGAAACAAAATATGCTCCAACAGCAGTTGAAAGAAGCCAATCGGGACAACTCAAAGCACAGCCATATTTGGAACTCAAGCGAATCTATACTGAGTCTAGCCCACAAAGCAATGAACTACTTTTCCATGATAGATAACATACATCGAAGTAGTCAAGTAGCTTGTGTGCAGACTTCTTCTATTTCCTTTGATAGAGATGACTGCTTTGAAAAATGTTCTTGACCACGTCATCACATAATTAGTAAGACTACTTTAACAATCTGGTTCAGCTTTTAATATTATTAGATCGACTACACTGCACGCATTCACGATATTGAAGTGTTTCACTGATCCATGAAAATAAAATAATATCATGTTATTATTTTGTGAAACAATTTGTTTCAGGTCAGTTTGCCCTGTGTAGACCAGTATAATGACCCTAATGGAACCTAATTCACTCATTTTCCTCACCCTAATCAGTAACTGCTTCAAAGTCGTACAGTGGCCATTTGTCTCTCTGCGAAATACCCCAGACGACCCTTTCCTGAATAAAAACCATTGGATTACATTGAATGCAACATTCTCACTCACTGCAGATCCTCAATTAACCCCCCGCCCCCCTAAGAATGAGATCCCAAACCCCTCCCTTTTGAAGAAAAATGTCGTAAAATAATCAAAGTACCTCTTCATGGGCACGAAACGTTTGGTGCAATTCATACCATACAATATCGCTGTATCAAGTACTGTTCTCGGTGCAGGAGGAGGGGGATCTATAATGGCCTAAACAGAGCCTGAAGCCTTTTTCAGGCTTCAGGTACATGAAAGGGAAGGGGTTTTTATAGTTGAAGTATATGAAAGGGACCAAAATGAGATCAGTCACAGATGCATTTTATGGATGTGAGAGACAAGAAAACCTGTTTTAGCTATTTATTCATATTGTAAAGATGGTGTATTTACAGGAGTTAAAAAGGGATGCAGCGTTCAAAATTAGGTATGTGAAAGGGGTACCATTTGTCACTAGAGGGTAAACAAAAGGGGTACGTTTTCTGTCTAAAATGGTACATACAAAGGGTAAAGGGTTGGTCCCTGGGGCAGAGCCTCTTTGGTGAGTACCCCCCCCCTCTGGGTTACTGTTACTCTAGTCTGATTCTTCTCTTTAATTTCTTCGATACTGTGCTTCATTAAATGAATTAAAAACCCCGATATGTTAAAAGAAATTATGTCCCCTGGAGGGGAAATAAAATCAGGGAAAATGGGTAGCAAGATCTATTGTGTTATTTTACATGCATTGAGTAAGCGTAATGTAGCCACTATACACATACAGTTGTGCGTGTTTACTGAAAAACATATCGGCAATCCAATCTTTTGCCTCCCATCACTTGTGTGAGACCTTAGACTCTTTATTTCCAAAACTACAGACAGCTTGCTTGAAGACTTATCAACCACCTTCTAATAAGCTGCCAACCTCTGCAACATTGATGATGTGATGCTTGATGGTAGGTGCACTGCAATATTACTGAGTCAAGCCAATAAAGCAGCTTGACAATATTAACTGGTTTAAGTCACTGATATTCAGTTTTACACTGAGCTTGAAATATTTTTCTCCACAGTAAAAGTAATGTTCATTAAAGAGAAGCAGAGCTCCCCCCCTAGAAAAAAAAAAGCATCCAGAGGGCTAAACAGAGGAAGTATACTTACCATGCATATTTTAACAGCTAGCCTTTAGAAAGTACCTTCCAACCAAAGACTTTAAAGTACTTCTCCCACGTATACTTGCAACACTTATTATTGCAGCTCAGTTGTGGTTCACTTTTATCCTAAGTTTGAATTTTATTCTCTTTGTTTTGAACTCGTAATCATAAAATTCATATTACCGTACCCCAAACAAAGGGAAGCAAAATTTAAACCTAGGTTATAATAAAATAAAACCACAGCATAGCCATTTGCTTTGAAACAACTGACATCTTTAAGACCAAGGTATGATTGATGTTCCTGGCACATTGCCCGTTAATATGTTTAAAGTTGCCTTTTATTGATGTATTAAATAACCTGATCCATCTTATCTTTTCAAATAGTACAATTGCACTTACTTCTCATCATAGGTTTGTAAATATAATATTATTAGACTTACAGTTTTATCTCATCGCCAACATGTTTTAATTTGGGCTTGAAAAAACGCTACAGCTAGGAAGGAGCTCCACTGCTACACTATTACTGTCCAGGAAATACACCTGGCTGCTTCGATCTACGTTATCTTTCACCATGTATTTAAGCCAAAACCCTACGAAAAGCGTCAAGCAAAAGTAATTCATTGCTTTGTGAGTTAGACCCAGTATTGATTCGCTTGAGTTCCAAATATGGCTGTGCTTTGAGAGTCTTTGTCCCGACTGTAGCTTCTTTCAACTGCTGTTGGAGCATATTTTGTTGTTTAGTAAAACGCAAAAAGGTGAGAAATGTCATGAAATTATTACCTCCGTATTATTTCAAGCACCTCATGAGCATATAGTTCATTAGTAAAATAGCGACCTTAAGTGTTGTTTCGACGCTTCTCTATCATCTTATCTATCATCGATCTTACCGGGTTCTTGATCCTTACCGGCCATTTTGGATTTTTATGGAGGTTTCCGCTGACAACTCGTTCCCAGACTTCCGTTCCCCGTTCCCCGCTCCCCGCTCCCCGCTCCCCGCTCCCCGCTCCCCGTTCCCCGTTTTAGTAACATCCGGTCGCGTCGGCGTTGAGTGTTTGCTCATCTGACAGCTTGCCTGCAAAGTCAGTAAATAAGTATTATTTGTCGCGAAAGTGGATGAGTCCATTGAAATTTCAGGCTTACCTGAAAGAAACGTGTACGGCTCCGCGAGATGCCGACGTAATGTGATAAAATATGCACGGGCACATTCAAGTTTATAACATGTAAGCCGTCGTGAAGTCCCGGAAATGATGAATGAAGATGATGGATGATACTTTGAACAGGCAAAGTTTATTGAATGCATTCTCACGGCTACCAAAAGCGTTTGATATTCGCATACTATGCGAAAAGGTCCAAACATAACTTGTTAGGGAAATTTGTTGAATATTATACCTTAGTCTTTAATTAAACTTGAAACGATAATCGCATGTTATGAAAGCAAACAAGGCTATTCAGCAGAAAATGTATACCGCAAAAATCCATGAGATGATGGTAACAACGCTTAGAAGATTTAAGCAAGCTTACATTAATTGTTTTGACAGGTTCCTCGCCAACTCGGATGGAAGTGGTTTGGAACAGTAGCGAGGATGACAATTATTTTGCAATAATTTAACGGATAGCGCGAGCAGTTTTGAATGGATGACAATTTTCGTCGAGCGGATAGCCTGAGCAGTTCGAACGGATACCAAATCTTTGGAAAAGCCTTTCATTTCGTGTAACACAAAATTCGCGGGATCGATTTGTGTTCGCGGGGCGCAATGTATCAAGGTTGGCAATTGGTCTTTAAAAAGTTTGCACCGATTACATATTAAGAAGGCATCATAAGACTGAAATGTCTTGTTTTAGCTGGAGCAATAGGCTCCTGGTTTTAGTCGATTCTATAGGTGATGGTGGTGGAGGGGGAAAATGGTATTTTGCCCACAGTTATTGGTTATTAGCTAGTAAAATAACAACGATGGGAGGGAGGGCTTAGAACTACATATATTGAACTGTAAAGAAAATCACCTTACCCCAACCTCCTCCCCACCATCAGATGAGCTAAGAATTTTCTCTTATTCGCCTTTTTTTACTACGACCGTTAACTCCCTGTTGAAATTTAGAAATTTTTTTAGAATGCTGGTTCCTAAACTGATACAGCTGCTAGAATTTTAAACTCTTTCTAAGGCCTACAAATCAAAGTAAGCGTGTGCATTTTCCTCTGTCGAACCTTTCGTATAATTACCTTCGTTTCCATGTTTTTTCCTAGACTGGCTGCCATGTCAGGGAAGAAAATTAATCAGGATCAACGACTGACTGAGAACACCGTAAGTGACAACAAGCCGTCGGACCTGGAGGCAGAATTCACCCACTCGTTTAAAGACGGAGAACGTGTTGACTTCATAGAATTTATTCAGCGTAAGAGTCAACGAGCGGGACCCTCATCTGCGACAGAGAGCCTTGTTGGAGCGTCCAGGTTGGCCTGCTTTATTTTTGAGGTACAGATTTCAATTTTATTACCGCGAGTTTTAAGTAAACTGGAATACATTAAAGTCATTCTATATGGCGGATCCAAGATGGCAGATGCTTCCAGTTTTTTAAAGTCATAAAAGACGTCGTCATGACATCATTGCTATTCTTAATTAGCAATTAATGAATGAGGCTGAGTAGGATATGAAGAATTAAGCAGATCGAGGAGGGTATTATCTACCGAGGCCGAAGGCCGATGTGGATAACACCCTCCGAGATCTGCTTAATTCTTCGTATCCTACGAAAGCCGAATTCATTAATTGCTTTATTAATGATTCAAAATAATTCCTAATTTAAAAACATAGCTGAAACTTGCTTACCTGTATCGACGTTAAGTTTATCTTCGATAGTGGACGTTTAGGTTTGTCCAGCTCCGCAAATATTCTCCAAATAGCAGATCTCTCCCTCCGAGTTGTCTTCCTTCTGTTTTTGCTGTTTTTAGCCATTATTTCGCCTAGTTCCAGCTGTAGTTCTTACTCTTGAAACGAGTGAAGTGTCTGCCATTTTAGTTTTCACAACGAAAACAACTCAACCTCGTCCCTAGGTCTTCTCTGTTAACTGTGCATTAACCTGTAGAGGGCTGCATTTTTAACTTCATTTCCTCGTTAAACACAAAAGTTCTTCCAAATTTGGTCATCAGTAAGTGGTTATGGTGAATTATGCGTGTGCTTTTCGCCAATCAGAATTTGAATGAATAATAAAGGTTATTTATATGTTAGCCACCTTCTTAATTTTATTTAACACCTTGCTGTTTAAGTACTTTTCGCTTAATGTGTACTTTGAGGGAATTCGGATTCTGCTAAAAAATTCAATAATATGAAGTCATTGTGTCAATCAAGTTATCCCCAGAAGTTGGAAATGATAAGTACATTTTTCTGTGCAATTTTGGGGGCCATAGCATGAGCAGTTTTGAAGTTATAGCTGGAGGCCTCTGAAGCCCCCAACCGGTTGCATGAAGCGAAAAAAAAAGCCCGGTCTATATAGGGTTGAATATAAATATTTATTCACAACTGTACATTGCAAACCTCCTTTATGCATGGTTCCTGAAGACAATTACAATCTGACTTTATACGAACTACAGTAATACTTTTGTGAAAATTTTGATCCCAGGAGTCATCGTCCGGGTGAGCGCAGACCTGAGTAGGACGCTGTCAACAACCGTCCTATTAAGGACTTCGCTCACCCAGACAATCATGCCCCTCACACTTAATTAATACTTTTTTTGTACCGTAAGTTTGGTACAGCATTTCTTGTAATATCAATTTGCTGTCTCAAAGTCAAACTTCTTGATTAAAATGTGTGTACCATAATTTAACTGTAACCAAACTATGTTGATGGGAACTTGCTTGATTCTGCTTGGCTAAACTGGTTCTTATATTTCTGGTTATCAAAGTGGTATATTTCTTCCAGCAGGTTCTTAAACCACTAGGTTCTTACACGTAGGTTTTAAGCGTACTTCCTTTGTTTCGCCTTCTGCGATAATTTCTTAACTGATTACAACCTTACTTTAGCCCAGCTAGCTCGTTTCAGAGTGTTTCGTTTATCTCATTAGGTGTCTTATGAGTGTGCCTTGACGACAAGAAATAACTTTGCGGATGTCTCTTCATCACTGCTGAACAGTTTAATCAACAGAGCCCCTTCGATTGCATTTATCGATAAGGACAAGGTTTGTAAGACTGATCATCATATCATGCTCTCATTTTTTCAGTATCATGGTTAACCTTCTCGTCATCATCATCATCATCATCATCATCATCATCATCATCATTACGGCAACATCAAGTCTCTTCACGCCAGTAAGTGCATAAGGCCATGGTTGTAGACTGTATTTAGGACCTTTCTAAGAACCACTATTTAGATAAAACAGATTAGCCTTCTGCAAGAGCCATAATGGGACAGCTCTTGCCTTCTGGTGTTGGGTTGAATAGGAGTTCTATCTTATACAAGTGCCCTGTGCATGAGGACCGTCTAAAATTAAAATCTTTTTTTAGAAATACAAGCGACTGGGCTCTCAAGATTTAGCGTATTGAAAACTTATTGCCTTCTGGCCCTTTTTTAAAAAGTGTTATTCTAGTTATTTTTAACTTTATTTGTGTAGCAGTGTTTAACCTTCTTGCTTATTGTATTTCAGCCAGTCGGGTTGTTTCCCTCCGATTCATCTTCACAACCTGGGTCAATGCTAGTACAGGAGGCGATGCGCGAGCTGATGGTCCATGTTAAAGAGGCAGCAAAAGATCATGATTTGAAAAGGCTCATTGAGGTAAGTATGCATGAAATTCCAGCTCGATTCAAGGTTAGTCTTCCCCATGTTTTCGGATTATGAAAATGGGGTTGGTCCAGGCTACATTATAGACTCTTGAGAACTCTATTCGTGGAGGGACAGAGGTGGCTATAACTAAGGGTGTGTGGCGTAAACAGTTTGTGCAATGTTTACTCACGCTTTTGAGATTAACACAAGAGCTCGAGAGCTGCACTTGTCCCACCTACAAATAAGTCAACCCGTAAAATTCAGAAGACAATTATCCATTCACAAATAATTGAATTTTCCTTGCATCAACAGACCGTCAAAAATGAGGCGCAGAGAAAATTGAAGGGAGAAGGGCGCCAGTCCAAAGCCCAAAAAACTGGACTTATCCTGCCACCGCTACCATCCGATGATAAAAATAGGAAGCTTGCGAAGTACATGGATTATTGTTGTAGGTTCTCCTGGCGCATGGTCACGCAAGTACCTCCACTAAAACTTGACTACCGGAGTCAGCATTTTGATGAAAGGAGTCACGTCCAAGGATTTAAAAGTGACAAGAAACAAACTTCTTCGTCACAAATAAAATGCTTCCTATGGCCAACACTGTTGGACTGCGAGAAACGAGTTATTGCCAAGGGAGAAGTCCTATTGTAAACGAATGTAAAATTAAGTAAATGTCTATTTTTGCTGGAAGTGCATTCAGCTGCTCTAGCTAGTTTCCATGCACCGCTGCACACAAATAATTGCAATTGGGGCACAACTTTATTAAAAACCCAACTGACACGAGGCAACCACTTGCCTCTATACACCCTGCAAGCATAGCTGAGGTGTTGAACCCGGGAATACCGTGAAATAAATCCAGCTTGTGTGAACAACTTGAACAACTGAAAATTAGAAATTAAAAATAAATAAATAAATAAAAAAATCGGTGTTCAGGGTGCCTCAATGTTAGTTGTATCGCTTGCATATATACGACGATTACTCACACCCTTTTGCTAAATTAGCCGGAAGACAAGAGTCAAATTAAAAATGAACAAGCTGCAAAATTCTCCATCATAAATTCAGTAAAATTACTGGCTTCCGTGGTCCAAGTATTGCAAGTTTATTATTCACCACCAGGCATATAAGTCAATTATTATTATTATTATTATTATTATTATTATTATTATAATTATTATTATCATTATTATTATTCTTGATTATTATTGTTATTTTTCTCATTGGTGGTGTTAAGGACGAACGACGTAGCGAGATTTATAGTTTTGTTTGTTACTTCTACCAGGCTTGTCCCCTACCCGTCCCTACGGAGGGTTTGGTAGGGACGAACTAAAAGGTCAAAGTTATACACGTTTGGTTTTTACTAAAGAACTGAAATGAGAACATCTTTGGAGGGGGAACCCTGAACTTTACGGCTTCACGGTAGAAAGCCTGCAGGCCTTTTATCGAACAGCTGAAGATTAAGCCGTTTGAGGATTAAAGGCGAACCGTTTTAAGACCCTGACGAAGGTTAAAACATAAAATAATTTCAAGTCAATGGCTCCAGAGAGATTGATAAAAGAACTTTATTAAAAAAAAAAAGTAAAAAGAAAACAAAACATGGATAATAAGGGACATCATGTATGTATGCATCATCAAGGTGTTTACACCTTTTGTTTTTACTTGTATCGTTATACTAAAATCCATTCGAGTTCAGAGGTTCTAAAGCAACTATTCAAAAATCTTCTCCTTTTCCTTCCATTACGGCTTCTTCTCTCTCTTACCTCACCCTCTGTGTGGATTCAAGTGAGAAAATTTGGGGAAACGTCAATGGAGAGTTCGAGCATTGTGATTCTACGAAGTAGAAAAACATGATTAGTAAGACAGGGCGAGCAGCTATCTATATTAGACGACGTTTGTACATGGCATGGGGATGCAAATGCTTTCTGAAATTTTCAGCCTTGTTTGCTTCAACATGATTGCAGGATTACAGTCACTACAAAGTTAACTTTCACTCGGCAACGCTTTATCTACATGACCGACCATAGACGGCAATATACATGACTGTAGTTACTGATGTCATCGCTCAGAGGAGATGCTACCTCTTACTCAAGATCACCTCTCCTTTTACTATAACCTTTCCTTGACAATCCTGTAGGGTGGGCCACAGGTAGCACATAATAGTCTGCTGGGCTTTCGGATGCCTCCTACGATGATCCGGGCAATTTTCTCCTCCAAAACTGAATGCTTGGCTCAGAACGTGCGTTCTGGAGTCAAAAACTTTGTTCTTGTATTCAATTTCCAAAGGAGGAACTTGGGACACCATACACCAAGCAAATCTTGTGCAATACTTTATGTACTCATCCAAGCTGTATATAACAGTGGAGTGATAAGAAGGAAGTATGTCGTTATCCCGTATCCATTTCGTCTCTATCGCTCTTTTGACCAGCTAAAATAATGATGAAACATCGTTTATTTATGCAAACGTAGAATCAGGAATTGATAGTGTTAAGGCTGATATTTTCGCCTTGTTAATAAATAAAATAGTGTCAACTTTTCCTGAACTAGCTTATGATAAGCTTCATTCTACTGCAAAAATAGTTTTTTTTTTCTAGACAGCTCAGTCGTGGTAAAGAAAAGAGTAACCACAACTGGCTCAGCAATATTTTTTTAAAGGGAATCACTGAAGTCACATATTACAAAGTTAAAACAAATTTTCCAAGAATGTAAAATAGTAACATTGATTTAACTTACATTTATGAGCGAATTTAGGTCATGAGTCTTTGCTTCTTCTTTGACAAGAATCATGACCTCAGATAACGCGTCTTGTGATTTATTCCCATCTCCAGTGTATGTACCCATGTAGCGAAACTACGAGATAAAAATTAGAATGTAAACAAACATAAACTGAATACGCTCATGAAGCGTTTTGGTATCGTAACAGAGCAAACGATACAGGGAAAATAAACAGTCACTTTTCCATCATATTAAGTAAAGTTAAATTATTCAATCACCGGAGAATGTTTTCCATGGGTATGACGATGATGCATAGAACTAACCAAAAGTTTTTGGATTCGTCCAATCTCGACCCCAGAGCTCTTCTGCGTATGACGGCCAGGGAGGAATAAGCTAGCTTACGCACGGAGCCAGAAGCGTAAGCTCTGGGGTCGGGAATGGGATACGTCTCCCTCGCTATTAGTTTCGTATCGTTAAGATTTTTTTGTTGTTGCGGAGGGGGGGGGGGGGGGTTGTACTTGTTTGTTTTTGTTGATTTAATTTCATTTTTTATTCATTTATTTAATTTAACTTAATTTTATCCATTTACCAATGTTTTTTTGTTTTTTTTTTTTGGCGTCGCTGTGTTAATGTTTTGTTTTTTTTTTTTTTTTTTGCAATTTATTATTTTGTCCTACAACTTTGTCGTCCCTTTTGTTTATAGCATTGGTCTCGGAGACCAAAATCTACAGAATATTACCTTATTCTGGAATTCGCTTTTGTTGAGTCCAATTGCAGGGGCGTTTGATGATAAGATGTCCAGAGCATCAGTCGTAACTTTCTCAAAAGTAGTTTTCGCTTTCATGGCACACTCGAAGGCAGTCTGAAATATGTTGTTAAAAAAACGTACAAGCTTTAAAGTTATTACAATAACGAAAAACGTTGCCTCCCTCCTCCATCCCCCTGAGCTTTTTTTTTTGTTTTTTTTTTTCTAGAAGATAAAACATCACCACCCGACGTTTTCAGTAGCTGTACGTTTATCCCTCGGGCGCATTTTGGGGCAAGTTTAGTGATGGTCAGTAGCAGGTGGTGAAGCCATTTTTGAGTGAAATGCACGTTTTTTCAACTTCTTTCAACAATAAAAGTAACGCTTGTGGATAAAATGATGCAAAGTGCTTAATTGTGTGTTATTTTTCATGTCAAGCACAAAAAAATACCATTTATGGTGGTTATAAAATGATTTCTAATTCTAAGTAACATCCAAAATAGTGACCAAGATGGCTACCATTTTTGGTGACATCACAGGCCTTCAGCAGCGCCACAGACTGTTCACAGTCCCCTATTTTCCCGTAAGATCATCGCCATCGAGCGCTTTGCGTTACGGGCTGCCATCTTGCATGAGGGGCAGAGGGCGGTTTGGGAGGAGGCGAGAAAAACAGAGGGACTGTAATAACATCACTGCAGCTCACGTTCAGGAGACGTGACAGGAATTTCTTGCCTTTTACCATTCATTAATTAAGAAACTCCGCTGGCGATTAAAAACATGCTAGACACATTTAGTATCGATTTCGCATGTTTACAAATATCTTCTTTCGAAAAAGTGATTTTATACAGTTTCTGGGACATTCCTCCAGTTAAAATCGGCAAACATGCACACGTGAAACATTTCCCTAATCCAAGTGCTAAGCATGCTCGCTTACCACAGATTAAAACGGTGAAACCTCCCGATAAAAAGCCAGGCATTTCTGACAGGTCGTCATTTTTGCGTAGGCGTAGCGTTAAATTTCAGTTCGTTTGGCCGAACTGCGTTACAACATTCCCCTGGCCGGGCTGCTTCAAAACCATGTTGGCTTACGTGATTCATCCGCAACAAACCAAAAATGCTTCGTGTGTTTGGCACTGTACTATGAAAGCGTACGTTTTATAGAAACAACGACTTGTCAGTGTCGGCAACTTAAACAAAACTTGTCTTCGACGCAAATTAACTTCTATTGTCTAATGACCAATCAAACGCCTGCATTGCTCCGTGAACGCGAGCTGCAGTGATGTTATTACAGTCCCTCTATTTTTCTCGCCCCCCTCCCCCTAGAGCTATAATCCCCGAAGACCTCCCCCTTGGCACATTTGAAAATCAAGATGGCCGCGATTAATGGTAAGACGCGCCATATCTCGACGATCTCACGGAAAAATAGGGGACCGTGAACAGTCTAGCCGCGCCACCACCAATAAAATATACCTCATCTTGTTGAAAAGATCAAAGGCTTTCCACTAAAGACAAAATAGTTTCGAGATACTGCAACGTATCAAAACTCTGGGGAGGGGCTCCATCCATCATCCCCCCCCCTTCCCCCTTTCTACCACGGTAGTGGTGTGAATTTGTGTGTACGTTTGAAGGTTAAACTGTGCGTGAAAAAAAAGGGTCTCTCACTTGACAAAGATTCTGAGATGAAATCGAAAGCTCGCGTCTTAAGGAAAAAGTTTATCTCGAAGTCTGAAACGTCTTTATGCTCATATCGGATGACGTGCCAAGATTAGTGACTCGTTCTTCAGTAACAAACAAAAATTGCTTCGCACAAAAAAGGTACGACGCTTCCATCGGCCGCGTTTATTTCTTCGGACGTAAGGCAAAATAATCTGGAATCAAGGTCAAACACAACATCTCTGCTCCCTGTCCAAAAACGGCAAAATATTTTATTGGAGCTGACATTTTAGGCTCCAAGCATAAACTGCTAAGTTAATTACCGTAAATCCTCTATTAAGCTCCCCCCTCTCAAATAAACCCCCTTCCTTTAGTAAACGCCTCACTCCCCCCTCCCCCTTTTCAGTGAAAAAAGTTAATAAGCCTCTAATAAATAATACATTATTTTAATCATTCACGAAACTATAACTTGTGTGGGCTGATCCGGGATGGTTTATTTACCAACTGGATCTGATTCTGATAGTCGGCTGTATGACCTCGAACCTTCTTGTACTAGTCTCGAGGTTTTCCACTTTGTATTCTAGTTCTTTATGTACAAATAATACCATCGTCTTTTCTAAATTAAGTAGCCCCCCACCCCCATCCCCCGTCTCTATTAAACCCTCCCTCAAATGGGTTTGAAATAAATAAGCCCCCGCGGGGATTTATAGAGGATTCACGGTATCCATTTAGAGAATATATTATTAAGCGTTTAATCGTGCTTAAAATTTTCAAAATATAACATAACCAAAGAAGAGGCTGGAGATCAAGCCAACCCCTCCATAACTGTTCTGCCACCTGTACCTCCGGCGTTCATCAATTCCTAACTCATTTACAAGACCTGGGAGATACTTTCAAATGCAGTGTTGCTTTCTCCTTGATTAGGCTTTCTTACTGCTAGATAAGAGCACCGTGAAAAGGAAAAATCAAACGAACCACAAAACAAAACGAAAGCAACAGTAAATCATTAATACCAATAAACTTTTACCTCAAAAATGAAGCATGCAAGTCTGCAGAACGTTAAATAATCTCTTGCAGATGGCTTCGTTCCATGACGCGTAGCTCTGTTAGTTATAAGCTCCACCGCATCAACGCGAGCACCGTCTTTGAATTCAGTAACA